CCCCTTCCCTTCCCCTTGATCCCTCCTGCCCTTCCTCATACCTCGTGCTGGCCGCTGCTGAAGGACAGACGGCAAGATTAGTCCGCAGTTCATGTGTAGTCTTCTCTCGAGCTCGATCCTACTGCACGGATGGAGCATCGCCGTTGTGCCAAGTACAAAACCCAGTTGCATCCCCAGAGTGTTGGCACGCCCATATCACCCACGCAGGTTTGGCATTTATTCCGGTACGGCACCTCGTGTCTTGAACACCGTGAATGTGTGTTCAACGATTCCGAGGACATCATGCCTACTTGCGCCAGCAAACGCAACGCATACATGTGTAAGCAGTTTTTAACAGGCTCCGCAGATTCTGCCAGGCCGTCATAGCTCTCCACGTGCAAAGGAGCCTTTATCATCGCATGTGTGATAATCATCGATGCAATGACTTCAGTATGATGTCACGGCTGAATTTCGGAACATGGCTATACACATGTGTAGGAAATTCACTGTCGAATTGTTCAACCATCTCTACAAGGTTAGGGCCTGCATAGCGCTCAGCAGACTAATTAGTCATTTAAGCAAACGCTTGTTGTAAGCCATATGTGGCATCACTGTCATCGCGTCACGATTGTCAAGGGTATCTGGTAATTCACAACATCTAGGCTCAGGAACCTCATGCTCGTCTCGATCACAAGCTGGATCCCACTGGGCATCTGGAGATTCTGCCAATGTCCTGAAGCCAGCGCAAATCATCGGCCAGCGTGAGAGTTTCAATGCGTGGCATCGGAGGCTCGTATGGAATACTCAGACATGGCCCAGGCAAACAACGAAGACACGTTCGAGCCTGAGCTGGCATCCTCCCGGGACGCAGATCGGGCGTCGGAGGTGTGAGACTCTTGGCACCATCGATGCAAACACAGACGCAGGGCATCAGTTGGACTGCATGCGCACTCTCGCAGGCACCGGGGAGGCCAGGAGTGGGCACCGCTGCCCTGCCTCCGCTCCGCCAGGCCGGCTCCTGGTGTTGGCGTGCTCCCCCCGCGGGCGGGGCGCTCCCTCCTCCTCGCGCGACCTCGGCGCCAGGCGGCCTCGGAGAGGTTGCTCTGGGCCGCCAGGCTCCTCCAAGGACCCCCCCCCCCCCTTCTGGGGCGCCCGCGCCCGGCGGCCCCGCCTTGGCGCCGCCGGGCCGCCGCCGGCCGCCGGCGCGGTGCTGCCCCAGGGGCCGAGCGCAGGCCCGCCCTCCACGGCCGGGGCGGGGAGCCCCGCCGCGGGCGGCCGAGGCCGTCCGCCCACGGGGGCAGACGCGGAGCCCACCTCTGCGTGGCCTCGCCTTCCTCCGCGCCGCCTGCCGCGGCCCCGCGCGCACCGGCCCGCGCGCTCCTGCCCCGCGCCTCACCTGCGCTCGGCGGCCGCCGCCGACCGACGCGACGCGCCCCCCCCCCCCCACCCGCCCGCCCTCGACATCGCCTCGCCTCCCTCGCTTGCTCCTGCCTTGGCCCCCGCCCGCGCCCCGCGCCGCCCGACTTTCCAGCCCCCCCTCCCCATGTGCTGTCGCTGCAAGCAGGCCGCGCAGCACGGACGAGCGACTTTCCAAGGCTGCCCTTGCATCCTTCCCCTTCGGCCCACCCTTGGCCGCTTTCGCTGACCGCGCCCAGCTCGCAAAGTGTCGACATGGCCTTCCAAGGCTTGCCTCCATATCGTGCGTCCTGATTATATGGGTTGTCTGTATTGCGTTGACCCTGGCCGTTCCTGTGGAGTCTGGACGGGCTTGGTTTTTCCCCACATGCTTCGTGGGGTTCTGGTTTTCTTCCCTTCCGCATCTCACCCGCGTCTCCTCCTTCTCCTTCTCCTCCCTCTCCTTCTCTTCCCTGCCGCGCCGCACATCACAACATAGCACAGCACAGCTCACCGCAGCACAGCACAGCACAGCACAGCACAGCATAGCACCCACAGACACACACACACACACTCACACACACACACACAAGCACGCAAGGCGTGGCAGGAGTGGCACTTTCTCGACACCACAGGGGGTGCGCAGAGGGTGGTCCCTCAGCGCGGCCTCTATCCGTGACACGCTCGCAGATCGTGGCAGGAGTGGCACTTTCTCGACACCACAGGGGGTGCGCAGAGGGGGGTCCCTCAGCGCGGCCTCTATCCGTGTCACGCTCGCAGATCGTGGCAGGAGTGGCACTTTCTCGACGCCACAGGGGGTGCGCAGAGGGTGGTCCCTCAGCGCGGCCTCTATCCGTGACGCGCTCGCAGATCGTGGCAGGAGTGGCACTGTCTCGACACCACAGGTGGTGCGCAGAGGGTGGTCCCTCAGCGAGCCCTGTACCCGTGACACGCTCGCAGATCGTGGCAGGAGTGGCACTTTATCGACACCACAGGGGGTGCGCAGAGGGTGGTCCCTCAGCGCGGCCTCTATCCGTGACACGCTCGCAGATCGTGGCAGGAGTGGCACTTTCTCGACACCACAGGGGGTGCGCAGAGGGTGGTCCCTCAGCGCGACCGCTATGCACGACGGTCGCCCATGGCATAGCAGCCGTGGCACTTTCTCGACGTCATAGGGGGTGCGCAGGGGGTGGTCCCTCACCGCGGCCGCTATGCACGACGGTCGTCCAGGGCATAGCAGGCGCGGCATTTTCTCGACACCATAAAGGCTGCGCAGGGGGTGGTCCCTCACCGCGGCCGCCATGCACGACGGTCGTCCAGGGCATAGCAGGCGTGGCACTGTCTCGACACCATAGAGGGTGCGCAGGGGGTGGTCCCTCACCGCGGCCGCTGGCTGGCTCGAATCTGTCCTCGATGGAGGATAGAAGGCTAGGAAGAGGGAGGAGGTTCAAGCAATATGGCGTTGGATGACACAGAGGGGAACATTCGCGACGAGGGCTGAGAACGCAGGATTGCGCATATATGATAAACTTAAGCAAGCACATAATATTTAAATTCAGTATGTGGGGTTCCTCGGTAGCGCATTTTTTTCTTCTAATGTATTTTCATATTTTTAATTATTCTATAAGAATATATATATATATATATATATATATATATAAAAAAATTATCAAAAAACTGTTTTTCCACTATATGTCCCTGGACGTCCTGACCCTTTCCAATGGGCAGGCTATGCATCTTCCGAGTCGATGGTTAACGGCCCAAGGAGCCAGTGACGGCTCCTCACAATGAGCATCAGCAGTTTTGATCTGTTCTGTGTGTGGGAGCCGTGCCCCTCCAGAGGCCTCCTGGATCCTAGCTGGGGTCGCAGCAGACGGGCTCGGAGGATGGCGCCGCATCGGCGATGCACTGGCGATGCACTGGCGACTTCGGCGATTCATCGGCGCCGTCGGCGTGGAGAGCATCGGGCTCCACAGAGCCGCACCGCCGATGCATCTCGGGCCGGACGAAAGGGGGGGATTGGGAAAGGGGGGGTTACGACATTTGCCGCATGCAGCTCGTTCCGGCCCCTCCGAGGGGCCCCTTCCTCGATGCACGGTCGCCTCTGGCGCCAGGAGGCGCCGGGAAAACCAGCTGCGCGAGCCGATTCTCCCCCCCCCCCCCCCTGTGCTATCCCCCCCTTTCGCCCGACCCGAGCATCGGCGGTCCCAGACCCCCGACGTAATGAATTTTTCATCACGTCGACCCGAGAGTTCTCGACCCCTTCCCCAGGACCGGTTTGTCATCCTGAGTCGTTGTTTGACGCTCCCGAGGCCCGGTGAGGGCCCCCAGAGGCCGAAAATTGAGAAAAACCTCCCGTCATGATTTTTCATTACTCGAGGGGGTCTGGGGTGCCGCGCGATCCGCATCTGCTCGGGTCCCTCGGGGAGGCCCGTGCGGGCCCCCGGGGGCGGGGCGGCCGAAGAGGCGGGGGCGCACGCCTGCCCGCCTCGGGGCGTGCAGCCCGGCCTCGCCGCGCCCCGTGGTGGCTGGCCGCCCCAGGGCCACCCAGACAGACCTCCTCCTCCTCCTCCTCCTCCTCCTCCCACCCAGACAGTCCTCCTCCTCCTCCTCCTCCTCCTCCTCCTCCTCCTCCTGCCCATCCTCTGTCAAGGGGCCAGAAGCGAGGCAGATGGTCCACGATCGGCAATTGCCCTCCTGGGGCTGAGCGCTGCGTGATGTTCGACCCGGCGGGAGTGGGCCAAACCTGCCGGGTCGGGCTTGGAATGGGCCGCGGCGATCGCGGCGGCCGGGGATGGGGGCCAGGTTTTTGCCAAGGGGTGGCGTGCCCCTTCCCAGCCCACCCCTGCTCTGCTATGCAGACGTGGCTCACGATTAACAGGAGCGAAAGAAGGACGTACACGTACATGAATCCACGCTGGTTTCGAGGGTACGCATTGCGCAAATGGTCGTATAACGCGGCCGGTTCTCTCGGATCGAGGGGGCGTGTTCATGTACATAGCTGGGCGCGTACGTCCTTTGTGGGCTCCCTAGATTAACAATGTAGTGGCAGAACATTTGTCAGCGTGAATCCAACATGAGCAGCATGGATCACTCCACCAGCGGAGGTGCGCTGAGGCCTGGACACGGCCTGTCTGGCAGGTCTGGGAGGTTCTTGCCACTCCCCCTCCGAGATCCTCGACCTTGGAGGCCGAGCTTCAGGGGGGCGGGGTCTCGAGCAAGGACCTTGCACCCCGCCCCCGAAGGGGCGTGCGTGACCACCACCCTTTCGGCCGACCCTCTTGCGAAAACTGCAGTCGAGTCCGATGAGATGGTCGACCCTGCCAGATCAAGGGCACCCTCGTGTTCTGTGTTCAGCGGCCCATGCCTTCTGCACTCCTGTGGCAACGTGGCCCTCGGAACGCACACGTGCGGCGCCTCGTCAGACGCGACGTGCGCCCCGTCGTCCGAGGAGGACGGGGCGTCCGAAGCAGGAGGAGGGCCAGCACACGACGGCAGGGCCTCGCGGGGCCCTCTCGCGGGCCCTCTCCGATCGCACCCGACCTGTGCGGCACGCCGCCGCGCTGGACCCTCTCCGGCGCGCCGGAGGCCTGGGCGTGCGGCGCCGGCGCGCGCGCGCGCGGCGCAGGAGCGGTCCCAGCTGTGGTTCTGCCACTCCGGGGACCCCCGCGCGCCGCCCGCCCCTCCGCGGGGCGGGCTCGGGCGGCGCGCCCCGCGCTCGGCGTCGCCCCAGCATGCTCTCACGACCGTGTGTGCGTCGCGGGCCCCCCCCCCCCCCCCCTCCCCAGGGGCGACGCGCGCACCGAGAACTCTTGGAGTATACACCTTAGGCGATGCTTCAGAAAACTGAAGTTTTCGGCCAGAGTCTCGATTATTCTTAACGTTTCAATGTAAATCTTAAGATTTTAATAGAAATGTTGGGTTTTTATTCAAGTTCTGAGACTATGAATTCTAGACGCTTCGCGTATCCCCACCAGCTTTAGTCGCGGCCGTAGCCCGCCCGCGACCTCCCGCCGCTGGCGCTTCCGCCTGCGGCTGTAAAAAAAAGTATCCCCACCAGCCCGTCCAGAAACGACGCCCAGGCGAGTAGAGGGTCGTCCTGAGGGGCTTTTCGGCGTCTTGGGTGCCTCGGGGGGGCCTCTGTGGGCCGTTCGGGATCCTCTTTGGGGCCTCCTGGGGGCCTCTTGGGGCCTCTTGGGGCCATCTTGGGGCCTCTGGGGGGTCTCTGGGAGCACCTTGGGTGCCTCTGGGGCCTCTGGGAGCACCTTGGGTGCCTCTGGGGGGTCTCTTGGGGCCTCTTGGGGGTCTCTTGGGGGCCTCCTGGGGGCCTCTTGGGGGGCCTCTTGGGGCCATCTTGGGGCCATCCTGCGGCCTCTTGGGGCATCCTGTGGGCCTCTTGCGGCCATCGTGGAGGAAATCGATCAAAGAAGAGGGGAGCCTTTTTGTATAAATTAGCCCTGCCCCATCAGAAGGCCAATATGGGGCCAAAACCTAGTTAAAATCAATGATTTTGGCTTCCTCGCCGAGGCCGTTTTTGACGCTCTGACCGCTCCCCGCCCCTCCTGTCCAGGTCAGTGGGGAGGGGGTAGGAGGAGGGGTAAACCCCTCCCCGAAGGGGAAGAGGGAGGGGTGGAAGAGGAAACGCCCTAAACCACCGACGCCCAGAGGGCTGGTGGGATTATGGGAAATATTGTAAAGATGTGGAAAAAGGAGAAAGAGGGGGAGGGGGATGACGGAGGAGGAATAATAGGTAGGCGAGGGGGAAGGGGATCCTGGAGAGCTCATATGGCCACTTGGAATCGTCCTGGGACGGTCTTGGAGCGTCTTGGAACATCTTCGGAACCATCTTGAGGCAGGTTGCGATATCTTGAGCCAGCCTGTTGGAATCGTTTTGGAGCAGTCTTGGAACGTCTTGAAACATCTTCGGAGCCATCTTGAGGCAGGTCGCGCAATCGTCAGCCATCTTGGAAGGTGTCCTGGGCTTCCGAGGCTCTCAGGGAGCCGTCTTGGCCCATCTTTGACGACCTTGTGAGCCTCTTGGGGGCCTCTTGGGCGTCGTTTGGGGCGCTCTTGAAGCGCTCTTGGAGGCCTCAGAGGCGCTGGTAGAGCCATGTTGGAGGGGATCTGGCAAAGAAAGCGGAAGCATTTTTTAGCGTCGCCCTTGTAGAGCCTTTTAAAATCGCCTCCTGAACCCCTCTTGGGGTGTTCTTGGAGCGTTCGTTGCCGCTCTTGGCGCCGTCTTGGGGCTTTCTTGGGCCCCTTTTGGAGCTATCTTGAGCCATCTTAGAGCCATTTTGACGCCTCGGATGTGCATCGCAAGCGACAAAGTGAGAACACCAAAAACATTGATTTTCCCTAGGGTTTTGAAGCATTTTGGCCTCTTGGAGGCATCCTAGTGATGCTTTTGTGAGTACTTGGAACCGTTTTGGGAAGCTCTTGGAGCGTCTTGGAACATCATGGGGACCATCTTGAGGCATCTTGCGCTATCTTGAGCCATCTTGGAGGTGATCTTGAGCTCCCTGAGGCACTCTTGGAGCCGTGTTGGGCCATCTTGGACTCTCTAACTACCCGCGGTCCCCCCTGTCCAGGTCAGTGGGGAGGGGGTAGGGGGAGGGGTAAACCCCTCCCCGAAGGGGAAGAAGGAGGGGTGGAAGAGGAAACGCTCTAAACCACCGACGCCCAGAGGGCTGGTGGGATTTCTGAACCCATGATTTCTTAAGCATTTCGCAGGGTGTATGCGTCGTGGCGGGCGCTTTCTGGCCATACCGCGCGGGAAACGATATACGGGCGGCCCAGATTAGTATGTCGACGCTGCCAGATCAAGGGTACCCTCGTGTCCTGTGTCTTGCGACCCATGTCTCCTGTATTCCTGTGGCACCGTGGCCCTGGGAAGGGTCTTGTGTCCTCTCGCGTGTCCTCTCCAATCAAGTCCGACTATACTACAAGATGGGTATACTATATGTTCGGGTCGGACGCGCGCCTCCAAGGAGGACGTATAGTATTAGGATGTCTCTGTGCGTCCCACGCGCCCCTGCCTCGGGGGATCTCCGCGGCAGGCCGGCTCGTGCCTCGCCCTGCGCGAAGTAGTTTTAGTCGGGCGTGTCCCTCTACAGGAGGAGTATTCAAAAAATAGTTAGAACATAGTATGGGGACGATTCTTCTACTATGTTGACCAATGTGTGAATATTTGTGTTTGTTTTTTGTTTAAAGTTTTGTCGTCCAAGATCCGCCTGTAGGAGGACATGCCCGACTTAGGCCTATGCCTCGCTGGCGCACAGTTCGCCCTTGCATCCCGTCGCCTGTGCCTATCGTGCGGAGCGAGCGTTTTTGGGAATGCCACGGGCCCCACCTCTTAAGGCCCGCCCCCCCCTTCGAATCATATGCATCTCAGTGGATCCTGAGCCTCAAGAATGGTTGTGCACGCTCCCCTGTCCATGTAGCAGCGTGCCTAGTGTTGCAGGCACTATCGCCAAGTGCGCTAGCGGCGTTCATCATCGCAGTCTCTGACATCGGCGGCTGAAGACGTTTGCGCGCTCAAGGGAGCGAGCGGCAGACTTGTGGGCAGCTTTCAAAAGACTAACCCGCCTGCGGAATGACAGCAAAATACGTCCCAATGGCGTCCCAGCTCTTGACACCAAAGCTCCCATGCGCAAGCGGTGATGTGAAACAGCTCAGATCGCCAAGGCTCCCAGAAGCTCACGGTGTCATGAGCCCTCTCGGGCAAGTCCCTGAAGCGCTCTTTCCGTTTCCATGCTGGCCTAGGTGATGGAACGAGCGAGGTATGAGTGATGACGTTTTGGTGGGACGAAGTCCTACAGGGGGTCCCAGCCCATGGGGTTTCGAAGCGGGCCTGAAAAAGTAACGGAAACAGCGAGGTACGAGTGCTAAGGTTGTAACACGCCCAATTTCTCCAGAAGACGGCGGAAGTCGCTGCCATGAGCGGCCACGATGCCCCCAAGACGGCCCAAGGGGCCCCCAGGCCGGGCTCAGAGAGGCCCAAGAGAGCCCGAAGAGGGTCGAAGGGCGCTCCAAGGGGGCCAGGATGGTCTTGAACGGTCCAAGAGGTTGCGAAGACGCCTCAAGAGTTCCCCAAGAGACCTCCAAGAGGGCTGCGAGAAGCACAAAGCATGGATGTTCATGTTACTGAAATATAACATAAGGTGTTCGGGTTTCTCGCGTGTCCGGGTTCCCGACATGACAGACAGCTTCAGGGGTCTCCGAGATCACCTCAAGACGGCCCAAGAGGCGCCCAAGAGGGCCCCCAGACGGCCCAAGAGGGCGCCAAGGCGGCCCAAGAGGCACCTAAGACGGGCCCGGAGGGCCAGATGCTCACAAGAGAGCTCAAGAAGGATCTAGAAGGTCCCAAAGCGGGCCCAAGAGGGCCCCAACAGGTCCCCAAGACGGCAAAAGCCCTGAGACGGCCCAAGAAGCCCCCAGGAGGTTTCCCAAGGCGGCCTGAGGAGGCAGCACAGTGTGGATGCTCCTGAGGCTGTGCGAGGGGTCCATGCGTTCTCGCTTGTGCGGGCCGAGATCGGCCGAGGCCAGCTCCTGGATGCGCCAAGACGGCCTGGGAGGCTCACCCCCAAGACGGCCCACGAGCCCCACGACGGCAACCGAGAGCCCCGCGAGGGGCCACATGGGGGCCCCAAGAGAGCCCCAAAGGGGGCCACGCGAGTCCCTAAGGAGGACCCAACAAGAACCCGAAGAGGGCCCCAAGACGGCCCAAGAGGCCCCCAGGCGGGATGCCAAGAGATGCGACGCAGCTGCGACGGCGCCAGAGTGACCGCATACAGTGGAGACTCATGCTTACAAACACCCTGCTTGCCTCCAGGGCGCCATGGGTTTCTTGGGTTTCGATGGTTTTGCAATGGAAAGCGTAACATTCCGACACCAAAAAACAATGGACGTCCTGGGGTCTCAGAGTTGGGTTTCTCGTGGAAGGTTTCTAGTGGTCGGGCCCCAACTGTATAATGTTCTTCTCATTCTGACCCCTCCCGTGTGCGGTCGCACAACGATGCGCCCGCACGTGCAAAAGCGGGCGCAACGCATCCACAGAGACATCCGCACGCGCGCGCGCGTGCCGAGTCGCGCGGCGTCGCGCCATGCTCATCCTGTACTCCAGATTTCGTAATAAAAGGGAGGGGGTCTGGAACATCGTCCCCAGACCCCCCAGGCCCTCCAAGATGGCCTGGAAGAGACCCCCCCCCCGGAAATGAGACCCCCCTCCCTTTATTACGAAATCTGGAGTACCCCGTCGCACCCAACACGGCCAAGGCGGCTCCAAGACGGCCCAGGAGCGCTCCCAGGGAGCCAGATGCCGCCCCAGGGCGTTCCAAGATGGCCCGAGACGGCCGTCAGGCGGTTCCAGAGGGCCCCAAGACGGCCCCAGGGGTCCTTAGGAGGACCCCTGAGATGGCCGATGGCCTCAGGATGCCAAAAAACATTGTTTCTCCATAGGTTTTTGTACGTGTTCAGGGTTATCGCTTCTTCGGGCCCAAGAGGCCCCAACGATCGCCCCAAGGCGGTCCCAGAGGCCTTGTAAACGGCCCGACAACTTTTGAAAAAGGGCCCCAAGACGGTCCAAGATGGCCCAACAACTGCCCAACAGAGCCCCAAGACGGCCCCCAGAGAGCCCCACGAGAGCCCCAAGAGGCTCCCAAGATGGCCCCAAGAGGCCCCCAAGAGAGCCCCAAGGAGCCAAAGGCCTCCCAGGCGCCCCAAGACTGCACAAAGGGGTTTCAAGACCGCCCACGAGGGCCTCAAGACGGTCCAAAAGTGCCCCCAATGGGCCCCCAAGACGGCTCAGCGACGTCACCTACATCAGCCATGTATAGCGTAACATGTTCTGAATACTGAGGCTCCCAAGAGCGATCGGTGCCATGAGCCATCTCGGGCAAGTTCACGCAGCGCTCTTTCTGTTACGAGGTACGAGCGATGTCGTTTTGGTGGGGCGAAGCCCTCTAGGGAGGGGTCCACACCGCCAAGACGGCCAAGGCCCCAAGACGCTCCAAGACGGCCCAATTGGGCCTAGGACCAACAGGTCCCCAACAGGACTCCCAAGAAGGCCCAGAGACGCCAAGATCGTAACACCAGGGTTCCCCAGAGCGAGCTGTGACGTAAACAACTTTCAAGATCAGGGTTCCCTAGAGCAAGCAGTGACGTAAACAGCTCTGAGCACTCAGGCTCCCAAGAGCCTATATTGACGTGACAAGCTCTTACAGTCAACCCGCAGAGTAAGGATGCGCGATCAGGATGCAAGGCCCTTGGACGCCCATTTCGAAGCGTTTCGAGCGGGGCGCGGCCAACGAAAGTGTCCAATGATGGACCCAGGAAGCAAGGATGCAAGGGTACCCTTGGGAGGGATGCCTATCCTTACTCTGCGGGTCGACTGTACCACCAAGGCTCCCAAAAGCGAACGCTGCCGTTCCAGGCCCTGCACACCCAAGGCTCCCCAGAGCGAGCGGTGACGTAAAAAGCTCTGAACACCAAGGCTCCCAAGAGCCCATGGTGACGTGACAAGCCCTGCACACCAAGGCTCCCAAGAGCGAACGGTGACGCAAAAAGCTGTGCACGAAGGCTCCCGATACGGCCTTGGACCTGGGGCGAAGAAGCTCACGCTCTTGACCCGCGTTGCTGTGGCCACGTTCCGACTGTACGGGAAGACAAGGGCTCCTCGCGCGCGGCCACCCCCCAGGATTGCCCGTTCGTCATAGGCTGCATGAGGTGCCTTTTGGATGACGTCCCGATCGATGACGTCGTGCAGGCTCCGCTGATCAGGGTCTGGCAGCGGGAGGAGGGAAGGATTATCTGGCCCGAGGACGCATCACATAACATCAGAGGAAGGCGCACTCTGTGCACGGCAAGCCGTGAGTGGAAGATTGGCGCAGATCAGGTTCTGTGGCAGGGGAGAAGGGACGGATTGTCGTGGATCCCCGGAGGTCTCGACCCATTCCCAGGGACCGGTTTTTCATCCCGAGTCGTCTTTTGACGGTCTTGGGGCCCGGCGAGGGCCTTCTGAGGCCGACATTGGGCAAAAACCTCCCGTCCTTTGTAGGCCCCGGAAACGGCAGGGCCGTTTTTTTCCACCGTTTCAAAAAAGATGTCCTTTGAAAATGGAAACGGCAAAAAAACGGCGACCAGAAACGGCAAAAAAACGGCTCCAGGAGTGGCACCGGGGCCGGAACCGGTCAAAAAACGGCGGCGGCACCGGTAACAAAAACGGCGCCGGAACCGGCGACAAAAACGGCAGAACGGAACCGGTAACAAAAACGGCCCTGTCGTTTCCAGGGCCCATTATTCTCCCGTCGTCTTTGCGCACGCCACGGCAAGTGATGGCGCGCACCAGCGCCAGCGCGCCCAGGGGGCCTCGTGGGCGCAAAACATCATCCCCTGTTTCCTCCTCCTTCTCTTCCTCCCCCTCCTGCGCTCCCTCCTCCTCCTCCCTCCTCCTCCCCCTCCTCCTCCTCCTCCTCCTCCTCCTCCTCCTCCTCATTGGCATCGCTCGGACGTGTGCATTTTTCCTTCGGCGAGGACCATCGAGGAGCATCCTTGATCACTTGGCGAAGAAGCCACGCGCGACTCCGAACAAAAGCACCGGGAGTGGACGTCCGAGCGATGCCCAGGGTGCGGGGTCGGCCGCGGCGGGGACGCGCCCTCGGTTCAGCAGGAAGAGGGTACCCATACCACTAGTCATGGCGCCAGCATCGCAGAGCGGATTCCGTTCGGGAAACCATGGGATGGGTCCGGATGGTCCTGGAGAATATTTCGCTCCGGATTTCGAAGTGAGTTTCGCGCGGGTGTTTTGGTTGGCCAGGAATGAAGACCACAAAGAATCTCAGTGAAATTCGCTCCGTTTTTCGCCCGCCGTTTCGGGGTCATGCATGGACAGAAGTCCACGGACAAAATCCGCTGCAGCACGTCTGCAAGGCCGGTGCAGTGACACCAGGGGTCCGTTTCTTTGTCCCCTGGCGACGACGGCCGTTACCGTTTTTTTCGACCCCTTGGCGATACAACGGCCGTTTCCGTGGGGGTGGGTGGGATGAGGAGGGCGAGGGGCCTTGGCATCGCTCGGACGTGTGCATTTTTCCTTCGGCGAGGACCATCGAGGAGCATCCTTGATCATTTGGCGAAAAAGCCACGCACGAAACCGACAAAAAACACAGGGAATGGACGTCCGAGCGAGGGCGAGGGGCTTGTCACGTCTCGATGCGCGCTGGCGCCGTCTGGGAATGCGTTGCCCCTGGCAGTTCCCAGACGGCGCCTGCGCGGGCTGTGACGTCACCGGGCGGGGGGAGGCGGGGAGCATCCCAGTGCCGATATTCTCGTCCTCCCAGATGGGATATCGGAGTTGATGGGTCGGAGGATCGCGCCGCATCGCCGATGCGTCGCCGATGCATCGGCGATGCGGCTTGATACGGAGCCTAATTTTCTCAACACCGACGTCGCCGATCCGTCGCTGATGCATACACGTCGTCGATGCATCGGCGATTACGGTGCAGCATTCGGAGCCGAGGTGATCGGATCCCGTCTGGGAGGCCCCTGCCGTTGCCCTTCCCTCGCTCTCCCTTTATCGGGCCTCCTGGGAGGCTCTCGCCGCCACGGCTGGATTCGCCTCGAGGGTCTGGTCGGAACGCACGCGCCCCGGGGAGGGGGCCGGGGAGCAGCGGTACCGGCAGGCGGCCGTGGCGATGCAGGCATCGGCGGCACCCTCGGCGGGGGCGGAGCTGAGGCGCTGGTGCCGAGTCCCCGCAGCTGCTGGGGATCGAAGAGGAGAGGCTTGGCATCGCGTGCACTTATGTTTCTCCGGCGAGGGCCATCGAGGAGCATCCCAGGTCATGTGGCACAGAGGGCAGGTAAACGAGACCGAAGCATGCACGGGGAACGGACATTCCGAGCAGCGCACACCCTCGGGGGGCCGCGCGGTCTTGTCGTCTCGTGGCTCGCGGAGCGCGCCGGGGGGCGGAGCCAGAGAGGTGCTGCCTCCGTCTAGGTCTCCCAGATGGGGTCCGACCCCATCTACTCGGGCCCCATCTAGGAGGCCTCTACTCTGGAGGCGCCGCCGGGGGGGGGGTCCGGCGCAGGTCCAGGAACTCTGCGCTGGGCTCCAACATCGTATGGTTGCATGGTGTTTCCTTATATTCGAGGGGGTATGCGGTCCGCGCGGAGCTCTCCCACGTCTCGTGTGTTGGCGTAGTTGTCGAGGTGCTCTTTCACTTCTGGGCCCTTCCAGATGGGGTCTTGGCAGTCTCGGAGGCCACCTCTTTGGGGGAGGGGCTCGAGATCTCTCGATGCGGGTGCCGTCTCCTGGGCCCCTCTTGGGGGGCCTCTGGAGCCCCTTGAGGTCCAGAAGCCCATGGTGAGCAGTCGGGCAAGCGTAAGACTCGAGTTCGCTGGAACTCGGGAGTGCAGCTGTTTTTTGACGGGGCCATCCTGAATTTTGACGGTCTAGTGTTCGTGGGATGTTCGCCGCGGGAGCTCGCGTCCAATTTCAGATTGGGTCTCGTCATGGTCCTGACGGCCCCATCAGGCCAACCCGAGACCCCCAACCTGAGTCTTACGTCTCGTGCACCCTCGCAACTCCGTCTTTAGAGTGCGTTAGCGCCGATGAGCGTCTCTTAAGTCATCGATAGGATAGCGCCGGTTTAGCGTCGATTAGCATCGACTCGCGTCGATGAGCGTCGGTTCGCAAGAGCCAACAAGATGTTTTGGGAGGCTCCCATGAGTTGCCACCGAACGAGCGAGTTTTCTGCCTCAATTTTTCGGCCTGCCGCCTCTGCGCCAGGCGATCCAGGATCCCGAGCACCGACCACGCTGGGAGCCGCTGCAGGGGGGGGGGCATGCGCTGGAGGTCGATCGGAGGCGCCGATCGATCGTCGGGCTGGACGAGAGGGTTGAGAGCCGAACCCGGGAAATCGCTTCCAAACCCGGAGTTGTTTGGGTCGAAACCCGGTCGGCGCGCATCCGCGAAACCCGAATTCCCAGCGAAACCCGGAATTTCTGGCGGCCGCAAGACCCAGAGTTCAACACCCCGAATTCGATAATGAGAGAGACAAGCGAAGATTTCCGTCCGAGATGCGGAGGACGAGGACGGAGGAGGAGGGAAGAGGTGGAGGACAATGAAAAGGTGCAGGAAGGGGACTGGGTGGAAAAGGACGACGATCAAGGAGGAGGGGAGGAGGGAGGACAAGGGGGATGCACATCCTCGTTCTTTCCTCGATCCGCGCAGGCTTGCCTTAGACAAGCGAAATCTGATTGTGTCAGTGCGGCCAGTCCGCGCAGACGATCTCCCAAACTGGGCATCGAGTGGAGCATTTTTTCGCCCCCCCCCGAGGCGTTGCGTTGCCACGCGGCGAGTCGAGTGGAATGCTGGATGTTCTTCCCGCGCCGTTGCCACGCCAGGGGTAGAGTGGGCCTCTGGGGCCGTCTGAAAGGCCTGTAGGGCAGTATTGGGGCCCTCTTGGGCAGTTTCTGGGGCGTCTTGGATTGGGGCCTCTTGTGCCGTCTTGGTGGTACCTTAGGCCGTCTTGGAGCGTCGGGAAGCCGAAAAGGCGCGAACGCCAATATCTTTCAAAACCTAAGGACAATTCTTGAATTGTCCCCGTTGGGGCCCTCTTGGTGTGCTCTCGGAGGCTTCTTCGAGCAGCGTGGCTACCGCTTGGGGTGTGAGTAGGCCATCTTCGGCCTCTTGGACTGGTCCTTCGTCGAGTCGGGGCCCTCTTGGACCGTCTTGGGGGCCTCTTGGGCTGCCTTTGGGCCTTGTTGGGCCCCAGGACACCCCAGGGGAGAATGGTATTCGGACCCGGGACCTCCCCCCGTCATCCGGCCCCCCCTTGCACCACGCCCCTCCGTCCCCCACGGGACCCCCCTCTGGGGGGAAGGGATCCAAGGGAAGAGGTTTCCTTTCGATTCAACTACGATGTTTTTCAAGTTCGGTTTGGTTTCGCTTTGGCTGGCGCGCTTCAGGTTTCGGTTCGGTTTCGCCGTGGTTGGCGCGCTGGAGGAGGAGGAGGAGGACCCAGCTACTGCGACGACGACGACGACGACGACAATGGCGATCACGACGAAGACGACGACGACGACGACGACGACGACGACGACGACGACGACGACGACGACGACGACGACGACGACGACGACGACGACGACGACGACGACGACGACGACGACGACGACGGCGTCTTCCATACGCCGAAGGGTGGGCGGATTTTTGGGGCCCGACACAAATGGCCGCCTCTTTGCTTTTCTCGGGTGCGCCCTCGCCAGGCGCCCCTTGGACTTCGACTTCCGTGCAGGCCCCTCCTCCTCCTCCTCCTCCTCCTCCTCCTCCTCCTCCTCCTCCTCCTCCTCCTCCTCCTCCTCCTCCTCCTCCTCTCCTCCTCCCTCCTCCTCCCTCCTCCTCCTCCTCCTCCTCCTCCTCCTCCTCCTCCTCCTCCTCCTCCTCCTCCTCCTCCTCCTCCTCCTCCTCCTCCTCCTCCTCCTCCTCCTCCCTCCTCCTCCTCTCCTCCTCCTCCTCCTCCTCCTCCTCCTCCTCTCCTCCCTCCTCCCTCCTCCTCCTCCTCCTCCTCCTCCTCCTCCTCCTCCTTGGCATCGCTCGGACGTGCGCATTTTTCCCTCGGCGAGGGCCGTCGAGGAGCCTCCTGGATCATCTGGCGGAAAAAAAACCACGCACGAAACCGAGCAAAAACCACAGGGAATGGACGTCCGAGCGATGGCGAGCGCCTCCAGGCCGAGCCAGGCCCCAACGCGCCCGGCGCAGCCACTACTCGTATTGCGACAGCACGTGCTGTCAGACCAGCTTTGCGTACCTGGCGCGAGAAAGGGTTCACGCAAACGGAAGCCTTTCACTCAGACAGGGTCTGCGCCATGTCGGTTCCCCCCGTCCGGACCCTTTCTTCAACAATGCCCCACTCGCTGATATTTCAATCAGCTTTTCTATTTTGCCACTCCCGTCGTTTTGGCGCATGAGATCCCGAGCAGAAGGTTGGGGCCCAGATGGAAGTTGACCCTCGTTGCAGGATTGACCAACAGGCGGGCCGAAGCACGGGGGCCCCAGGACACCCCAGGGGAGAATGGTATTCGGACCCGGGACCTCCCCCCGTTATCCCCCTTCGGGAGCCTTGAGACGGGGGTCAATGCAAACGGGGGTCAGCCAGAGCGCCCGACCTTGCAGGATCCTGCAGGGCCAGGGTCGCACTGACCCAGGTTTGGGTGCAGGATCCCGCAGGATCTTGCAGGCTCCCTCGCACTGACCCGGGTCTGGGTGCAGGGTCTTGTAGGATCTTGCAGGATTCTGCAAGGCCTGGCTGACCCCGGTCTGGATTGACCCGGGTCAGAAGATCCCCGACCTCCCCTTGCACCCAGCCCCTCCGTCCCCCACTGGACCCCCCCTTGAGGGAAGGGATCCAAGGGAAGAGGTCTTTAATTCGACTCATCTACGACGTTACTCAAGCTCGGTTTGGTTTCGCTTTGTGGCTGGCGCGCTCAAGGTTTCGGTTCGGTTTCGCCGTGGCTGGCGCGCTGGAGGAGGAGGAGGACCCAGCTACTGCGACGACGACGACGACGACAATGGCGATCACGACGAAGACGACGACGAAGACGACGACGACGACAGCGTCCTCCACACGCCGAAGGGTGGGCGGATTTTTGGGGCCCGACAGATGGCCGCCTCTTTGCTTTTCTCGGATGCGCCCTCGCCGGGCGCCCCTTGGACTTCCACTTCCGTGCGGGCCCCTCCCCCAGCCCTCGGCATCGCTCGGACGTGTGCATGGACAGAAGTCCACGGACAGAAGTCCACGGACAAAATCCGCTGCAGCACGTCTGCAAGGCCGGTGCAGTGACACCAGGGGTCCGTTTCTTTGTCCCCTGGCGACGACGGCCGTTACCGTTTTTGTTCGACCCCTTGGCGACACAACGGCCGTTTCCGTGGAGGTGGGTGGGATGAGGAGGGCGAGGGGCCTTGGCATCGCTCGGACGTGTGCATTTTCCCCTCGGCGAGGGCCATCGAGGAGCATCCTGGATCATTGGGCGGAAAAAAGCCACGCACGAAGCCGAACAAACAAAACACCGGGAGCGGACGTCCCAGCGAGGGCGAGCGCCTCCAGGCCGAGCCGGGCCCCCAAAAGCGCCCCTGGCGCAGCCGAGACTCGTAGTGCGACAGCACGTGCTGCCAGACCAGCTCTGCGTACCTCCTCCTCCTCCTCCTCCTCCTCCTCCTCCTCCTCCTCCTCCTCCTCCCCCTCCTCCTCCTCCTCCTCCTCCTCCTCCTCCACTCCTCCTCCTCCTCCTCCTCCTCCTCCTCCTCCTCCTCCTTGGCATCGCTCGGACGTGTGCATTTTTCCCTCGGCGAGGGGCATCGAGGAGCATCCTTGATCATTGGGCGGAAAAAAAAAGCCACGCACGAAAGCGAAAAAAACACAGGGAGTGGACGTCCGAGCGAGGGCGAGCGCCTCCAGGCAGAGCCAGGCCCCAACGCGCCCCTGGCGCAGCTACTACTCGTAGTGCGACAGCACGTGCTGCCAGACCAGCTCTGCGTACTCCAGATTTCGTGATAGAAGGGAGGGGGTCACAACCCTCCCAGACGAGAAGTTTTAGACCCCCCCAGACCATCCATGAAAGGGCGGCCCTTTGCCCAGACCCCCCCCCACGTGCTGTCAGACCAGCTCTGCGTACTCCAGATTTCGTGACAAGAGGGAGGGGGTCACAACCCTCCCAGGCGAGAAGCTTTAGACCCCCCCAAGACCAGCCATGAACGGGCGGCCCTTTGCCCAGACCCCCCCGAACCCTCCGAGACAGCTCAAACCAGACCCCCCCCCGAATGTGACCCCCCCACTTTGTTATGGAATCCGGAGTACCTGGCGAGAGAAAGGGTTCACGCAAACGGAAGCCTTTCACTCAGACAGGGTCTGCGCCATGTCGGTTCCCCCGTCCGGAGTTTCGTCCGGACCCTGTCATCAACAATGCCCCACTCGCTGATAGTCCAATCAGCTTTCCCGTTTTGCCACTCCCATCGCTCTGGCGCATGAGATCCTCAGCAGAAGGTTGGGGTCCAGATGGAAGTTGGCCCTCATTGCAGGATTGACCAACAGGCGGGCCGAAACACGCTTTGATGAAGGAGCTGAGCCATGGCATCGATTTTCAATGCGCAAGGAACCGTAGTGAGATGCGTCTCCCGTTCTTCTCATCCAGAAAGAGCATCATGGCCAAGATCAGGAGGCGGATCTTGCCTTCAGAATATTTGGGCTGGTTCAGTATGTTGGTCTTCGGTTGCATTCCGAGGGAAGCTTAGTTTACACTCTTCGTGGCCCAAAGGTGTTTGCGTGGGCGATCCTTGCCATTTCGCGCTTCGGCATGGCTTTCAAAACCGAAGCGGCTGGGCCATCACAAGAGCACGAGGGGGAGGACTCCGAGTCGTTCAAGACTTTCGAGCTGGTTAGGCGGGCCACTTTCTGCTTTTTGGCGCGCAGTGTCCATTATGTCGCCAATGAACCATTGCGCGGTCTTGCAATCTAGATTTTCCATGTAACACCGACAATTCAGCAAGACGATCGGATCAGAGCGGATGGATGATCGACCGATCGGCTGTTCAATCCCACGACGATTTCTCCTCTAGACTGTTCGGCCAGAGTCAGTCGCTTGCACCTGCTTGCTCGCGGCATCATCTCTTGTGGGTTGTCGACGTGTGGGCAGCAGGCGGTCGGCAGTCTGAGTGACGCCGCCGATGCGTTGGGAGCGTGCTCGCTTCTTCGGGCCGGTGGGCGCCGCGAAAGGGCCCGCGTTGTTGGGGATTTGCTTGCCCAGGACAGGAGAGGAACGGAGAGGGGCAGTGCGAGGGGTGGATGCGAGGAGTGAATAATGACGATGATGATGATGATGATGATGATGATGATGATGATGATGATGATGATGATGATGATGATGATGATGACGATGACGATGATGATTATGGTGATGATGAGGATGCTGATTATGACGATGCTGCTGATGACCATGATGGTGATGATGCTGATGATGATGCTAATGCTGATGATGATGACGACAATGATCATGATGCTGATGATGCTGCTGCTGATGATGATGATGATGATGAAAATGATGCTGACGATGCTGATGATGATGCTGCGGCTGCTGATGCTGCTGATGATTCTGCTGCTGATGATTATGCTAATGATGAGTATGATGGTGACGAGGATACGGATGACGATGATGCTGCTGCTGCTGATGCTGATGATGATGATGACGCTGACGATTACGATGCTGCTGCTGATGATGGTGGTGGTGATGGTGCTGATGATGATGATGCTGCGGCTGCTATGATGGTGACGATGATACGGATGACGATGATGCTGCTGCTGCTGATGCTGATGCTGATAATGATGATGATGATGATGATGATGATGATGATGATGATGATGATGATGATGATGATGATGATGATGATGCTGATGGTGATGATGATGATGATGATGATGATGATGATTATGCTGACGATTACGATGCTGCTGCTGATGATGGTGGTGATGATGATGATTATGTTGATGGTAATGCCGATGATGATGACATTGATGCTGCTGATGATGATGGTGATGCTGCCGACGATGTCGATGATGCTGATGTTGATGTTGATGCTGATGCAGATGCTGATGCTGATGGTGAAAGTGATGGAATCGATGATGCTGATAATGATCATGCTGCTGCTGCTGATGATGTTGATGATGATGGTGATGGTGATGGCGATGATGATGCTGATGATGATGCTGGTGCTGATGATGATGCTGATGCTGATGCTGATGCTGACGATGAATATGATTATTCTGCTGATGATGAAGAAGAAGAAGCTGGTGGTGGTTGTGGCGATGATGATGCTGCTGATGATGATAACGATGACGATGACGATGGTGGTGGTGATGATGATGATGATGCTGATGCTGCTGATGTTATGCTGCTGCTGCTGATGATGATGCTGCTGATGATGATGCTGATGCTGATGATGATGATGATGATGATGACAATGATGATGGTGGTGGTGATGATGATGATGCTGATGATGATGATGATGATGATGATGATGATGATGATGATGATGATGCTGTTGATTATGATGATGTTGATTGTGACGATGATTATGACGATGATGGTGATTGTGATGATTGTGATGTGGACGAGGAGAGGAGAAGGAGAGAGTTGAAGCAGGGAGATGGGGAGAGAGGGCATCGAGGAGGGGAAGGGTATAAGGGGTGGGGATGTGAGAGGGGGCGGGCCAAGGGAGGAAGGAGCGAGGAGCAAGGGAGACGCGTGCGAAACCGTTCTCGGGCTGCAGCCTGGAAGCGAGCAGGAAAGGAGGGGCATAGCATGTGCCAAGGACTCCTGTTTCATGGGGTCAGTCAAATTGGCTTGCCCTCCGTTCAGTGGAGGCCCATGCCAAGAACCACCCTGCCTGCCTCCAGGGTGCCCTGGGTTTCTTGGGCTGCGATGGCTTTGCCGTGGAAGGCGTGACGCTCCCACACCAAAAAAATCACTGGACATCCTGGGGCCTCAGGTTTGGGTTTCTCGCGGACGGTTTCTTGTGGGCTGGCCTCCGCTGTATGCAGCCAAGGCGCTGCTGGGGCGGCAGCTTCGGGCTCTGACGGGCCTGCTTGCGGGCCGCCTCTCGGCTCTGCGTCGAGGGGCGTCCTGCGTGGCCGCGGCTCCCTGTGGCCGGAAGAGCTCCTTCTTGTTGTTTTTGGGCGCCGCGTAATGGGGGGGTCATAAATGGGGGGGTGGCGAGCGTGGTCCGAAAAGGTACCCAAACGGTGCCTACACGAGCCCCCTGGGGCTCTGGAGGGGCCCGAGAGGGGCACGAAAGGGGAGCTTTTCTGACCCCCCCATTTGTGACCCCCCCATTAAGCCACGCCCACTGTTTTGATTTTGGTGCCCCTTATGGCACGATGGCGGTGTCGACGGCCGGGTGCCGCGAGGATGCGGGCAGACCGGCGGACCGGACGCGCGCGCGCCAGGCCGCACGACCTCTCGGACCCCACGAGAGAGGAGCCTTCCCCTCTCGGGGGTAGTGCTTCAGGGGTGGTGTCCTCGGGGCGATGGACAGGCGTCTTAGATGCTCGCTCTCGAGACCCTCTTTGGGGCACACCCATGGATCTGTTCGGTTCAGGCTCGACTCAAGATCGACTCACGTTTCGGCTCTACTTCGACTCAGTTCGATTTAAAGCCGACTCACAGTCGAAGGGCTTTCGACGCAGCATCGACTCAGGAATGGAGCGAGTGCCTCCAGGAAGGTCCCCAGAACGAGAGTCAAGGGGGTCGCCGCCATCACCCAGTGCCTCTTGCGCGTCCAGAGTTTTTTATCAAGCTGTCGTCCGCACTGTCATTGGCGCCGCCTCCGTCTCTGCTTCTGCATCAGTCGCTGTCGCCGCCGCCATCGTCGCCGTTCCCGATTGCGCCGATGGTAATGTCGCTGCCCTTCCAGCGGGTGTCAGAGCTGGCCGGCATATGGGGAGGCGTTGCGGTGGAGGGCGGCCAGCGCTGCGGGAAGGGCAGACTGCGCAGAGCCGCGCCACACGATGGGGCTTCGGGTTGCGCGCAAACAGCCCTCCTGCTCCTCCTCCTCCTCCTGCTCCTCCTCCTCCTCCTCCTCCTCCTCCTCCTCCTCCTCCTCCTCCTCCTCCTCCCTGAGTAGTCCAGGGGGGGTCTCGTCACCCCGTCGCCGCCTCCCGCGGCGCCTCCAGGGACTTCCGCGCCCCAGGGTTGGTGGTTATGGAGGCCCCGGACCCGCTCGGGGGGCCTGTGGAGGCCAGCGGGGACTGCTCGGGGGGCCTCTTCTGAGGCCAGCTGGAGCTGCCTGGGGAGGCCGTCTTTGCGCAGTCCGAAGCCTTACCACTCGCCTATTCGCCTTCACGACTGCGCGGTTCTTGAGGCGTTTTGTGCCGCATTCAGGGGGACTTCGACAACCCCGAGGAGCCGGATAGCTTCGTGATAGGTCCCACTGGGGAGCCGCACCCTGGAGAGGTAGGCTCACCAGGAGAAGAGGCTGCGGGGTGCACGGGTTGCGTCAGGCATGACTCTCGATGGAGTTCAGGCCCCAGCCCGCTCCCGAAAGCGTCTCCGAAAGATGCAAGAGCAGGCAGTGACGCAAGCGCGAGCGCAGGCTGCCAGCGAACACATCAATGTTACGCGCACTTAGTGCGCTGGACGGTGAGGTCGGAGGTCGGAACATCTGGTGAGTGGGCCCCCCTGCCTTGCCAGGGTTCGGGTGGCGGGTGAAGACGCGCTGTTCTGAGCTTGAGCGTTCGGTCGAAGCGCGGGGGAGCCCGCCCTGCCGCAGGACGCCATCTTCACCGTGATGCCCGCGCCGCGCCCCGTGCGCGACCGCGAGATTCTGCAGAATCGGTGGCAGGCCCGGGGCCACCCGCAGCTTCTGCTGCCTCGTAAGAACATGCAGGGGGCAGGCATCCGATATCATTCCGAGCTCGAGTCGCTGGTTCAGCTTCATCACGCAGTTTCATGCGACAGTCAAGGGTTGGCAATTTGGGGTCCTCTGCGGAGGGTCGCTTGGGGCCCTCCTGGGAGGCCAGTGGGCCCTCTGTGGGGGCCTCTTGCACGATCTTGGGGGCCACTGGGGCCGTCGCGAGCCGTCGGAAGCTTCAGCACGCGGGAACGCGAACATCATACACATAATAATTGGGTTCCCATCTTTGTGCCTCTTGGGGCTCTCTTTGGAATTCTCTAGGAAGGAATTCAACTCCGCGAGTCAACGTGACTGTGAAGTCCTGACAATCCAATCCTAAATCGTGTCAGAACGCTTTTCCTGGGACTTCAACTGTACGAATTGATGAAATTGCACACTTTTGAGACGAATGCACGCGGCGCTAAGGCGAGAGCCACATTTTGAAAACGACCCGCCCTCAACCCTTGACACTGCTGCAATAAGACGAATGTGCGGGGCGCTCAGGCGAGAGGCACATTTTGAAAAGACCTGCCTTCCATCCTTGAGGATGTTGCGGACTTTTAATCGATCATGCGCGGCGCCCAGGCGAGAGCTACGTTTCGAAAATGCCCCGCCACCCGACCGTGACACGACTGCAACTTTCAAGTTTCAGGATCATGAGTGGTGAGGCAGTCTCTGGCGAAACGCCTGACCCGCCCTACCGACATGTCCAGGGGTACGACAGGGAGGAGTTATTTGTAAGGGAAAGGGATGGATGAGGTGGAGGAGGAGGACGACGACGTGGCCTCATGAGTCTTGACGCCCTCTTGGGCCTCCTGGGGGCCTCCTGGGGGTGTTCCTGGGGGCCTCTGAGGGGTCTCCTGCAGGCATCTGAGGGGCCTCTCTGAGGGGCCACCCGGGGGGCTCTGAGGGGTCTTTTGGCCTTCGGAGGCCGTCTTAGCGGCATTACTGGGTAGTCTAAGAGTTCTCTTGGGGTGTTTGAGGGCCGTCCTGCAGGTCCAGGTCCGTGGCATCAATGGTTTTGGCATCCTCGAGGTCCTCTTGGAGGCCTCCTGGGGTGTCTTGGAGGCCTCATGGGCCAGCTGGGGGGCATCTTGAGGTCGTCCTGCAATCACATTGGGCCGTCTTGGTGGCATCTTGGGCCCTCTTGAGGCTATCTTGGCCGTCTTGGAGGCGTCGCCCACGCGCGTATCAGTCACAGCAATGTGGTGGATATGGACCGGCAAGCGGCATCCCATACTTGCATTTAGAATATTTTCATTACTGTGACCGCTCGCAGCTTGGCAAGACTTGGCGACGCTTGTGGCGCTATGGTGGATCGCGTGCCAGGTCTGAGCAAACTATGACCTTGTTTTGGATCATTTCTGTAGCGCCGCATTTCCCGCTCGCTCGGGCAAGTTTTCACACTTGCAGACTCTAGATGGCTGTCTTCGCGGCGTTTGGGGCCGTCTTGCGGTCTTTTTGGACGTGCTCGTGGGGCTCTCTTAGGCCGTCTTTGGCGTCCTGACATTCGGAAAGGTGAGAGCCAGGAAACATTGAAACAACTCTTTAAGGAAACTCATGCTTTGGCATGTGGAGACCTTGTGTAGGGTGCGCCTCGGTTTTCTTGGGCAGGTCTTGGTGGCATCGTGGGCCATCTTGAGGCCATATTGGACTGTCTCGGGGTCATCTGGAGGCTACGGTAGGTTCATTCGGCGATGGCGCGCTGGCGACGCCGGCGAAGGCGTTCAAGGTTGAATTCTGCGACGCGGACACAGTGACGCCACTGGACCCGACGGAATTCAGCCTTGAACAATCAGGGCCACGATGGATTCAAGGTTGAACGATCGACGCGGTGTCAAAACCTCTTGCGAGCGCCGAGGCCGTGCGAACCTGCCACACCTGGGGCCGTCTTGAGGCCATCTTGGGCCGTCCGATGACCCTCTTGCACAATTCTGCCGCCCCTGGGAGCTCGCCTGGGCCAGAGGAGTCCGCCAGCACCGCCGGGCCGACCCCCACCCCTCCAGATCGGCCGACCCGGGCCCCTGTCGGCGACTACAGAGGATGTGGTTGCGCAGGGGTATGGTTTGACACCGGCGCCGTTGGGCCCTGGGGGGCACGGCGCTGTCCTCGTCGGGCCGCCTCGGGGCGCGGCGGATCGCTCCGTCGGGGTCCCCGCCCGCTCCGCAGGGTGCCCCGCAGGGTGTTGGTTTGCAAACCACTTCTTTGCAAACCGCACCTTTTGGAGTCGCCGATCCTGGGGGAGGGGTTTGGGGAGGGCCAGCCACCACCCTCGCTGAGGACCACGAGGGGTCGGCGAATTTTCACCTTTTGGGGCCCTCTTTGGGGTCCTCTTGGGGCCTTCTTGAGGCGTCTTGGAGGCCTCTTGGGACGTCTCGAGGCCATCGTGGGCCGTCCTGGAGCGCTCTTTCGGGATCATCTTGGCCTTATGACCTCAGGAAAAGTCACGGGGGAAGCCCCAAGAGTCTTGGGGGAATGCCAAGAGCGACCCCCCTCGGAAATCTGGCAATTGGGCTGGCGGATCCCGTAAAAGTATTTTCAATACACAATAGCTTGGATTGAGGACTGTGGACGGTGACTGCGCTCACACCGACGCGCAGCCCCACATCGATGCGCGGCTCTTCGGCCGGGGGCTTTCGTGAGTCCGAGACTTACCTGTCCATCTTCATTTGTTTCAGTTCATCAAGGGGAAAGGCCACCCAGACGCCTACCATTTTGCATGCATCGACATTGCACTCAGTGCCTCGCCGCACGCCGGCGTGTATTTTTGACTCTTGGAAGGGTCACGCGGCGGCGCCCGGGGGCCCGGAAGTTTTTGGGTTTTGGGCCGCCGGCTGTTTCTGATACCCAAAGTGTAGGGTCAACATGGACATGATCCCACTCCATTCCATTCATACGGCCTGGTGGCGGATATTGGCGAGGGAATGTAGGAATGTTGATGCTGACGATGGCGATGGGAACGTCGTTAGCGGTTTCGCTAATGCTGTTGATGGTAATGGTGATGTTGGCGATGCTGAGTGTGGTGATACTGGTAGCGATGATAATGATGACGACTATTGTAGCAGTTGTGGAGATGATGCTAATGACGATGACGATTACTACGGTGACGACAACGACTATGATGCTGATGATGATGCTGCTGCTGATGATGGTGATGATGCTGCTGCTGATGGTGCTGATATGATGATGCTTATGATGATTATTGTAGTGATGGTGCCAGCGGTGGCGATTTTGTTGGTAAGGGTGATGCTGGTGGTGATGGGGGAGGATTCTCTCGATGAGGAGGGGGGAGAGCACGAGGAGGAGAACTGCCATGGTTCTTGAGCAGAGGCGACGGGGAGCGATGATATCTCGGTGGGAGGAGGAGGTGCCCGAGGCTGAGATTTTGCGCCTGGCTGCTGCGGCGCCGCGGCGGAGCCGCCAGGTGGCCCTCCCCGGTGGCGGAGGCGGGCAGGCGCTGATCATGCAGTCCTTCGAGGCGGGCGCGGCGCACGCACCAGGGGCCCGGTGTCCTCTCCTCTTCTTTCTCTCCTATGTGTGTGTGTGTGTGTGTGTGCATTGGGGAGGCCTTATGGCTGGTGCCGCCGACTCTGAACGACGACGACGACGACGACGACGACGCCGGCGGCGGCAGGCCGGCGCACGCACCGAGGGCGCGGTGTCCTCCCCCCTTCCTCCTCCTCTCCCGTGTCTCGGCATCGCTCGGACGTGTGCGTTTTTGCTTCGGCGAGGACCATCGAGGAGCATCCTGGATCATTTCGCGAAGAGACCACGCACGAAACCAGAAAAAAACACAGGGAATGGACGTCCGAGCGATGGCGAGAAAAAGCCACGCACGAAACCGACAAAAAACACAGGGAATTAACGTCCGAGCGATGGCCAGGTGTGTGTGTGTGTGTGTGTGTGTACATCCCATCTCGAGGAAGAAGAAACATCGGCATGGGCATACAGTGGCCCCCTGCAGTGGCCAATTGTAGCCGTCTCGGAGCCGTCTTGGAGCGGTTTTTGGGCCTCCTGCAGGCACAATGGTGGCCATCTTGAGCCACCTTGGGATATCTCGAGCAATCTTGAAGGCCATCTGGGGCTCTCTGAGGCCATCTCGGGTCCATGCTGGCCAAGGACTTCCCCAGACCTGCCATAGTTGTTCAGTCATTTTGGTTTTGGGCGAAGAGGGGGTTTTCAATCAGCGTTGCACCTCTGAAGCCCGAGAAGTCGCCTCTCAGGGCGCTCTTGGGCGCTCTTGGAGTGCTCTTGGAGTCGTATGGACCGCTTTGGGTGTGGTCTTGGGGCCCACTGGAGGCATCTCGGAGACCGTCTGAATCCGTTTTGGCTGTTCCATCTTGCATGCCATACTGGGCTATTTCCTGACCGCGAAACGATCCACACAAATTTGTGTGTGTACAGTTTTATTCTGGGGACTTACCTTTGCGAGTGCGAAGGCCTCCTGCGCCCAAGCGGAAGGTCTTGCTGAGAGACGTCCCCGTCCAGTTTGCCAATCGCCTCCCACTCCCCCCCTCCCCTGTTGTCGGTCCCTCCCCTGTTATCGGTCCATTGGTGCTCAACGTTCGGATGCAACTCGTGGGAGGCTGAATGCAGCATAAGCGCCAGTACATCCGTTGTCGAAAACTGGCCCCTCTGGCAGTATAGCCCAGGTTGATTCCGCACAATCCTGCCTACTCCAGGTTGATCCTGCGCTGAATCTGGGCCGGTCCAGCTTCGTGATTCCCCAAGCGGGCGTACCCGCTTTCATTCGTTCTTGCGAAGGTTCCCAGGGGTCGCTTCCTAGCTCCTCCCCCACTCTCCAGGGGGGCAACGCTAGGGGGGGTATAGGCTCAGGGGGGGCTCCATCGACCCCCAATCGCCCATCGATCGTCGACGGGGCCGAACGTTCGGGTTCACTACAGTGTATCGGGGGCATATCGCCGATTTATCGGCGGCGTACCGCCGATTCCAGCTCAGTGTTGCTACTCATGCTCGTAGTCCTCGGGAGCTCGGCGGCGGGCTCTCCCCCCCCCCCGAAGGACAACGAGCTGAGGGCGCCCGACGCCCAGCGGGTGCGCGCTTTCACCCACCTCTCAGGCGCCCCCTTCACGCGGAGGGGGGGGGGGGAGGGGGGAGGAGAAGTCCGTCCGCGAGGTCCGGGAGCTCCTTCGCCGGTTTTCGGCGGCTTCCCAGCCTCGGGATCCCTTCGGGGGCTGCGCCTCGCCGAGAGCGCTCCCGGGGGTGCCCGAGTCGTCCTCGAAAGGCCGCTGGAGAGCCGAGTTCTGACCTTAAAGCCGAGGGGGGGAGGGAGGAAACCATACACATCCAATGTAGGAAAATATTCTTTGTGGAGGTTCTCATGGTTTTCGGCCTTTGAGGGTCCTCGCCGGGCCCAGGGACCGTCAGAGAAACGATTCAGGATGCAACGCTGGTCTTGGGAAAGGTCGGGACTTCCAGGGGCCCCGCATTGAGAAAAGAGGGGGGGGCGGGAGAAAGACGGAACTTGGAGGAGGAAGAGGGAGGCGGGAGAGGAGAGGGGGAGGAGAAGGGAGATAGGGAGGGGCGAATGAAGGGGAGGACCGACGGGAGGGAAGAGAGATGGCGGAGGACGGGGGCTTCTGTCGGCTTTCCCTCGCGCGGATCGCCTCGCTCGAGAGGGAGGGGCATCCGGGCCACTAGGAGTGAGGGGCGCCAGGGGCCACCCCAGGCCCCCCGCCGTTCGCCTCGCGAGGGGGACTCCTCTCCGCTCCCGCAGGGGCCCTGGGCGTGGTCCATGCCTCTGACGCTTTCCGCAGCGGAAGTGTTCAGTAAATGGCTCAGTGTACTCCAGATTTCATAATAAAAGGGAGGGGGTCACAACCCTCCCAAACGAGAAGTTTTAGACCCCTTCAGACCATCCATGAAAGGGCGGCCCTTTGCCCAGACCCTCCCGAACCCTCCAAGACAGCTCAAATTAGACCCGCCCCCCCCGAATGTGACCCCCCCCCCACTTTGTTATGGAATCCGGAGTAGCGACATCATCCAGTGAGCGTTGCAGCTGGAACGCGTTCCATTAGTGATCGCGCTCCCCTGTCCAGGTGGTTGCGGCCATTTCGCCGCCGTTCAGCGCAGCACTTGGTGTTGCGACCGTTTCAGACTCACCAGGAAGAGAGAGTGTAACATGACACTTCTCGTCCATGGCGCCCCCGTGTTCTGGAGGATTGTAACATGTGCCACTTTTCTGTGAAGGTTCGAGAAGACCGCGAAATTCGATAGCTGTCGTCCCCAGGGACCACGAAACCGTAATATGCCAATATTCGTTTTCCCAGTGGATTTGTCCTCGTCGCCGCCTTTATAATCCTCCTTTGCCTGCCCTAGATGCTGGGCCACCATCGGGGCCCAAACAGGCCTTAAGAAAGATCAAGATGCCCTCAAGACGGCCCGAGAGGTCTCCAAGAGGCCCTCCAGGAGAGTCCGAGCGGGGCCCAAACCACGTTTTTTTCGCTGGCTTTCCCCAATTAGGCTTGCCTAAGGGGCTCTCACTTAAAGGTTGGTGCCTCCTGTTGTTACTTTGCCCGTTGCTCGGAGGTTCCCCAGGTTTCTCGGGTGCCTCGGGTTCCCCGCCCCCGGTGCTTCCTATTGTTACGTTGCCCGTTTCCCGGAGGTTTGTCAGATTGTCCGGGTTCCTCGGGTTCCCCGCCCCCGGTGCCTCTTATTGTTACCTTGCCCGTTTCCCGGAGGTTTCTCGGGTTCCCCGCCACCAGTGCTCCCTATTGTGACGTTGCCTGTTCGGAGGTTCTGCATTGCCCGTTCCTCAGAGGTTCCTCGGATTCCCAAGGTTCCTCGGGTTCACCGCCGCCACCACACCACAATGCCAAACAATGCCAAGCAATGCCAAGAAATGCCAAGCAATGCCAAGCAATCCCTAGCAATGCCAACCCATGCGAAGCAATGCCAAGCAATGCCAAGCACTGCCAAACACTGTCAAACAATGCCCAGAAATGCGGAGCAATGCGATCGTTGTCTTATTCATTGTTTTGCCGATCGGCGCGGACCCTCGTACCCCCCCGCTCCCCCCGTCCCCTGGAAAGGATCTTCGCTGTTTTTGGTGCCTGTTTCGAGCAGGCGGAGTCCCTCCCCCATAGGACGCACTGCTGCAAATAGTCGCGTTCAGCAGAGGTCCGGAGCCAGACCCCCCCCTCCCCCCACTCGAGCCCAATGTCGAAACGCCGAATAGGAAAACGATCACAACGCCAAGCAATGCCAAGCAATGCCAAGCAACGCTCAGCAATGCCAACCCATGCCAAGCAATGCTAAGCAATGCCAAGCAATGCCAGGCAATTCCAAGCAATGCCAAGCGATGCGCCCAGCGATGCGCCCATGCAATAGGCTTTGCCCTAATCGGGGTCGCGCAAGGATTTTGAGGTTCTGGTATGTTTGGGTTTTTGACCGCCAAAGAAAGCCCAAGAGAACTCTCTAGGCCGCCTTGTTGCTCTCTTGGAGCGTTTCAAGGCCTTTTTGGGGCCCACTTTTGGAGCCCTTTGGGCGATCTTTGGGTCCTCTTGGGCCGACTTCGGGCCCTTCCTGGGGCTTCTTGGGCTGTCTTGGAGCTATCTTGGAGGCCCCTTGGAGGCTTCCTGGGCCGTCTTGGGTGGTCGGAAACCCGAATAGGTGAAAACCTCAAACTCCTTCAAACATCTAAATCAAAGTAATAGTTGTGGCCCTCAGGCTTTCCAAGAAGGCCTCGTGGAGCTCTCTCGGGCCATCTTGAGGCCTTTTGGGCTATCTTGAGCCGTCTTGAGGCTCTCTTGAGAGGCTCTTGAGCTGTCTTTGGCCATCATGAGTCGTTTTGTTGTCGTCTTGGCTGTTTTGTAGGCCGTCTTGGAGCCCATCTTGGCTGTCTGGAGGCCGACAAGATAGCTGGAAAGCAATTTCAGAGAGGGGGCGGTTTTGTTGGGGGCGCGTTCTGCGAGGGGGGGGGGGCCCTTAAAACTCGACAGAACTTCTCAGACACCAGACGAGCATTCTACCGTGAGAGCGCGCATCAAGAAACCATGTGCTTTTCGTCGGGGCATCCTGGGTTCATTCCGCGAGCTGCGCGGTGACTTCTCGCAGCCGTTGAAGAAGCTGGTGCGTCGGGTTTTCCCCTCAGGTGCACCTCGCGCGCGGCTATTCAGGGTGGGGTTTGCGGCCGTGCCCGCACTGGAACACGCCCGCTCCGTGCAGGCACGGTGGCGGATACCTTCCCTTCCCTGGGTGGGATATTAATGGAGGGGTGGGCGACTAACCTTCGACGGAGCTTGCCCGTCCCCCCCCACCTCCATCTCCTCCTCCTCCTCCTCCTCCTCCTCCTCCTCCTCCTCCCTCCTCCTCCTCCTCCTCCTCCTCCTCCCCCTCCTCCTCCCCCTCCTCCTTCGCCTCCTCCGCCTCCTCCTCCTCCTCCTCCTCCACCCCCCCTCCACCCGTTCCGACAGCACGTGCCCACCCCCCCAGCGGATCCAGAGTTGGAGGTCTCGGCAGCACCCCTGCCGCAGCGGCCGCGCGCCCGGCGGCAGGCTACATCCTGCGGCCCCTGCAGGCCTCCGGCAGCCAGGCGCCCCCCTCGGCGCCCGCGCCCGGCGCGGCGCGGCCTTGTTGGACCCACCCGGCGCACGAGGCGGCCACGCGTCGGCAGTGAGGCGGCAACGAGGCGACGCCTCGCCAGACCCCTCCAGCGCACGAGGCGGCCACGAGGCCGCAACGAGGCGGCAACGAGGCGGCGGCGACACCTCGCCAGGCCCGCCCAGCGCACGAGGCAAGCCTCGCCAGACCCACCCAGCGCACGAGGCGGCAACGGGCGGCAAGGTGACACCACTTCGCTTGACCCACCCAGCGCACGAGGCGACAACAAGGCGGCAACGGGCGGCAACGTGGCGACACCTCGCCCGACGCACCCAGCGCTCGAGGCGGCCACGAGGCGGACACGAGGCGGGATCGGGCGGCAACGTGGCGAAACCTCGCCGGACCCACCCAGCGAACGAGACTGCAACGAGGTCCGCGCGGCCTCTTGGATCGGCGCTGGTCCCCCCTTGGCGGTGCCTCCGGCGCCGCCCCTGGCGCGCTCCGCGCCGATCGGATAAATTCACGCGGAATCGGGATTCCAGAAGCTCATGCTTGCACATTTTTGTGCTTTGTTCTTCTAATTCTGCCTCGCCCCGCCCCTTGGCGGCCTCCGGCGGTGGGGCGTAGGGGGATGCTGCAGAGATTCGTCAACCTGGCGAACGCTCTGGGGACCAGCTGCGGGGGCCGGGCGCGGCATCTCTGTGTCGGCTGAGGTGAGTCATTGGCCTCCTCCGCCCGGGGTGCTCGAACAGGAACATCGAGCAGGGGGGCGAGGAGGAGTGCGACGCAGGCGGAGGACGAGGAGGGAGAGCGGGCGGGGAGGTGGCGAGGGCAGAGGGCGAGGCAGAGCAGGCAGGGGGGAGGGGGAGGGAGCGAGAGGCGGGGGAGGCGGGCCCTGCGCCGCGAGGTGGCTGGTCGAGGTGTCCGGAGGCAGGCACGGCGCCTGGTCTTCAGCGCGCTCCTCGTTGGCCGTGGAGGTACCCATACCGCGGCCCTTCGCGTCGCTTTCCCCCGCTTGGGCCTCCCGGGAGGCCCTCGTCGCCGCTGCCGGATTCGCCTCGAGGTTCTGGCCAGGACGCACACCTATGGGAGAGGATCGGGGAGCAGCGGCATCGGTACCTCCTGGTTTCCCCAGGCACAGCGAGCCGCCAGCAGTGCACAGGTGGCAAGGAAGCGGCCTCAACGTGTCCCGTCTTCCTCCTCCTCCTCCTCCTCCTCCTCCTTCTCCTCCGCCTCCTCCTCCTCCTCCTCCTCTGCCTCCTCCGCTCGGTCTCTCCGCGTCGCCCTGCAGCTGCTCGGGCCCTGCTCGTGGGGCCTGAACGGGGCCGTGGTGCGTTTCCGTGCTTCTGGTGCGGCTGAGGCGGCGCGTTGGCCGTGCAGCAGCTCGCGCGGCGCCCCGCCGGCGGCAGCGATGCACGCTGCCGAGCGATGCGCGCTGCGAGTGCGTTGCTCGTTCGATCGGTCGATTGCCGCGCCAGGTTTCACCATCGCGGCCGAGTTCTCTGGAGGTCTTGGCGCCGGGAGCGCAAGCCCGGGGCGGGGAGCCAGATCTTACGAAGAAGTCGTTCACACGGCTCGTCTTCCTCATTCTAGCATCGCTTGTCCTCATGCCCATCATGTTTTATTTCTCCATGTCAGGCTTGCCCAGGCTGGCCGTGTGCGTGTCGTCAGTGGGCCCCGTTGTTCTCAAGAGCATGCTCGTCTGAGGTTTGAGGACGGGTGTATGATTGCAGGCAGCCAGGCCTGAACATGGCACAGGTCGTATTGACGGTGATGCTGTCGGAAGTGCATGATTCTTCATCTATAACGTTATCTTCTGCACGCACCTCGGTCGCACATCTTGACGCTTCGTGCATCGCCACCAGCCCATCGAGAAACGATGCCCATGTCCAGGAAGAGGTGCGTAGGCAAGCATGTAGGGAATCAGAGATGCCAACAATGGTGAGGTTTGATACCTCGGGTAGCCTCTTGGAGCCATCTTATTGCAAACTTGAAAGCGTGGGGCCCTCTTGGGGCGCTTTTAGGGCTCTGTTGGGGCAGTCTTCTGTCAATCTTGGAAGCCATGGCGCAAGAAGTAGGGAGGCAGCAATGGCCCCCCCCCCCACACACTCGGGGGCCGACAACTTGCTTCTTGGGGGCTCTCCTGGAGCGCTCTTAGGCGCTCTTAGGCCCCTCTTGAGGCTCCCTTAGGCCATCTTGGGGCCGTCTTGGGGCCACAGTTTAGCCTCGCAAGGCCGCGGAGGCGCAAGGCGTGAAGGTACTCATCATTCCCAGCCCTCCTGTATTATCTTTTTCGCTTTGAACAGCACATTGCGATCGCAACTCCTTCCTTCCCGCCCCCCTCCTCCTTTCCTCTCTGCCTAACCGCTTGCTACCCTCCCAAACCCTCCTGCGCGGGGGTCTCGTTCTCCCAACCCTCTTGCGTGGGGTTCTCGTTTTGAATATAGAGCACTGCGGTCGCGACCTCCCCCCGCTTGCCTCCTCGTCTCTTCCCTCCTCCGCTTCTCTCCGAACCCGCGGCTCCGGGGAACCAGACCCATTTTTTAGGTCTGGTGTCCACAAGAGGGCCAGGCGTACCGGCCTAGGGTGTGTGTGTGTGTGTGTGTGTGTGTGTGTGTGTCCGTCGTGGATACCCAGACCCGCGGGAGCGACGGCCCGCACGGGTGCCGGCGACAGGACACACGCGTCCCCCCGAGAGACAGCGTCAGGAGGGGCAAACAGGACAATGCCACACAGGAGCGGCCGGCCAGAGGAAGGAGAGGCGGCTCGGAGGGCGGGCGGGGGCGGGGGCGTCGAAAGTGGCGGCCCAGCGTCAGGCATTGGATGCTGAGCGGTCGTCGCCGCATCGCGGCCAGGGCCGTGGCCAGAGCGAGCCAGGGGCGGCGGCGGGGCGGCGGCGGGGGGTCGGCGCTGCAGCGGTGGGCGTGGCGTGCGCCGCGCAGCACCTGGCAGGCGCTGGGAATGATTTCGGCGTGGCCCACAGTCAGCGTGCGCTGGATGCGGCGCCGCGCGGTGGCGATCACAGCCGATCGCTCCGCGTCGGGCAGGTTCTGGCCGTAGGAGCGGGCGAACGAGACGAGCTCCTCCGCAGGCCGCCCTCCCGTTGCCAAGACGGCGGGGGCCAGCTCGCTTCCTGGAGGGAGGTGCCCGTTCCGCTTGATGCCCACAGCTTGCGACGCGGCCAGCCCCTCGTTGTTGGATCGTGCTCACCTGCGCTCGAGATTGTCAGAGTGTGCGCAGGTGACAGACCCGTCAGCGTAGATAGGCTCTCCGGTGGCGGCGTCGCGGGTAGCCACGTCGAGGCCGACTTCTTCCAGCTCCCCAGTGGCAGCGTCCACGCTGTCCCAAGCTAGAATCCGCTTGCGGTGACCGCCACGTGAGTGGTCTGCGCCTGGTGGAAGAACGCGTTCCAGTCTCGGAGGCTGTTGTGGCGATGGTCGCGAGACCCCCCGCAGCCGCGCTTCAAGGGGGGCCAGCCCTTCGCGTCTAGGGGTACACCTGGTCTCTCCTGCCTTCGGCCTGGCTTGTACCCGCCTGCCAGCTGACCTTCTACCTCGCCGTCTTACGTTGCCTCGCCATCCCTGGGGAGCTGCGATTTGCGGAAGAGTCGCCACTTTCGAGGACTGCTTGAGGGGTTCACTTGAGTGACCTACTGAGGACTTTTTTAACCTTGTCATCCCTGGGTGTGGGGGGAGAGGGGGCTGCGAACTGCGAAGCTGTCGCCACATTAGAAGGCTGCTGGGGTGTCCAGCGGAGTGACGTCATACACGGATTCAGGTTCGTTCTCGCCATCCTTTGGGTTGCGAGCTGTTGTTTCTTTCGAGGGCTCTTGGGGGGTCCAGCGGATTGATTTCATACGCGGATTCAGGGTCGACCTCTCCATCCTTGGAGGGCTCCGAACTGCGGAACTGTCGCTCCTTTCGAGGGCAGCTGGGGGTCTTAGCCTTGATGTCATTTTCCCGTGGGCCGCCCGAAGACCTGGCGGCGCGCCTGCGGGCGTTAGGCCCCCGCGTTGCAAGGCGCAGGAACGGAGCCGAAACCTGCGGGCGAGCTCGGCGTCGCTCGTTTCCTGCAGCGCCAGATCGACGTGTCGCGGGCCAGGTCGACATGTCGCGGGCCGTGTTGTTTGTCCAGCGTGCTGGTGGAAAAGGATCGCCGCCCTCCTTCTTCGTCTTGCCTCTTTTGGTGTTGTCCTCTTCCTGTTCCCCGCCGTCTCACTGCTGCTGTCGCGTTCAGCCCCTCTTCCGTGCTTCCCTGCCCCTTGTTGAGACCCGTATTTCTTCTTCGAGCCTCGGGCTTCCGTTCTCGTCCTCCTGCTGCTGTTCCGTGAGTCGTGCAACGCACGTGTTTCGCATATAGTTGGCGCAACCAATGACATATCTTTTGCTGTCATCACCCGTGCTTTTCTGGACCAGCTCCTGATGTCACTTAGTGCAAATGGGTTGGGCCAGTCGCGTGGTAATTCTAGAGCTTTCGGTTTTGGGACGAGTTTGCTTCTTTTTGGGGGTCATTGGGAAGCTCTGGGGACACTGGGCGGTGTGGGGGCCGTCTTGGAGACTTTTCGGAACGTGTCGGAGCTCGTCTTGAGCCATCGTGCTCTATCTTGCGCCACCTTAGAGGACATCTGGAGCTACACGAACCCATCCCAGAACCATCTCGGGCCCAGAGGGACCCACTAACCCTTGTACCTCTCTTCCCTGTCCAGGTCCACGTTAGGTTAGGGGTACAGGAAGTGCCAAGACATTTCTCCCAGACGCACATCGCTTGGCTCACACTCGCACGCACCCACAACACACACGCAAAGAGTTCCCAAGTCTCATCGGGCTAAACGGCCGTGTTTGGATAGGCAGCTACTGGGAGCCAATTCAGATCTTCGGTGCGCGAGGAGGGGAAGGGTTGCCACGTCGGCTTTTACCGTCTTTATCGAACGCCACGCCTACAATCGCGGCGGAGTGGTCCTTATGATGTATGGTGGGCTTGCACGCAGCAGGCAATATGCCAGCACCCCCGCCGTCCCTGTCAAAAACCAATGCAGATTGATCGCGGGGTGCCCGCGCACGATCGAGATTTAACCGCTAACTGCAGTTTGTGTAATTTGTTGGCGGGGACGGCACCCCCGCCGCCCCGGCCCTCAAAAAATAATACAAAGTTTTCGCGGGCCCCACGGATCTGATCCATGATTTTGCAGCAACATACATTTCGCATTGATTTTTGTTGGGGATGGCGGTGGGGGGTGGCAGTGTCCCTTGTTTGCCGCCGGTCGGGTGGGGCGGGGTGTGTGTATGAGTAGAAAGCAGTGACCGAGCTACCCACCCGCAGGAGTGTTGTCTCGCCCGCTCTCATTTGTAATTTTTCCATGATTATCCCGGCAAAGCAACCTAACAGCGATGTGTAGGAGCATATCTGGAAGCATTCCCCTTAAGATTCGGATGATAATCCAGTTGTAGAATTCTGCTGTTCTCGCAGTCGTAGTCGCATTCGCGATGACAGTCGCAGTGGCAACAGTCAGCAGTCACAGCCTCAGCCTGCCTCCTCAGCCTCAGCCTCAGCCTCAGCCTCAGCCTCAGCCTCAGCCTGCTTCAGCCTCAGCCTCAGTCTGCCTTCAGCCTCGGCCTCAGCCTCAGCCTGCCTCAGCCTCCTGCATCAGCCTCAGCCTCAGCCTCAGCCTGCCTCAGCCTCAGCCTCAGCCTCAGCCTGCCTCAGCCTCAGCCTCAGCCTGCTTCAGCCTCAGCCTCAGTCTGCCTTCAACCTCGCCTCAGCTCAGCCTCAGCCTGCCTCAGCCTCAGCCTGCATCAGCCTCAGCCTCAGCCTCAGCCTCAGCCTGCCTCAGCATCAGCCTGCCTCAGCCTCAGCCTCAGCCTGCCTCAGCCTCAGCCTCAGCCTGCTTCAGCCTCAGCCTCAGTCTGCCTTCAGCCTCGGCCTCAGCCTCAGCCTGCCTCAGCCTCAGCCTGCATCAGCCTCAGCCTCAGCCTCAGCCTGCCTCAGCATCAGCCTGCCTCAGCCTCAGCCTCAGCCTGCCTCAGCCTCAGCCTCAGCCTGCTTCAGCCTCAGCCTCAGTCTGCCTTCAGCCTCGGCCTCAGCCTCAGCCTGCCTCAGCCTCAGCCTGCTCAGCCTCAGCCTCAGCCTGCCTCAGCATTCAAAATGTGGCCCGGGAATGGAATTCTGGGAACTCGAAGAACACGAAGTGGCCTACAGTTGGCTCCGGGCATTCAAAATCATGCCCAGGAATGGAGTTCTGGGAAGTCGAAGACCACGAAGTGGCCTACAGTTGGCTCCGGGCATTCAAAATGTGGCCCGGGAATGGAGTTCTGGGAACTCGAAGAGCACGAAGTGGCCTACAGTTGGCTCCGGGCATTCAAAATGTGGCCCGGGAATGGAGTTCTGGGAACTCGAAGAGCACGAAGTGGCCTACAGTTGGCTCCGGGCATCCAAAATGTGGCCCGGGAATGGAGTTCTGGGAAGTCGAAGAGCACGAAGTGGCCTACAGTTGGCTCCGGGCATTCAAAATGTGGCCCGGGAATGGAGTTCTGGGAGGTCGAAGAGCACGAAGTGTGTGACTGTTGGCTTAAAACGAGCCCGGCTCTGTTCCCGGCCCTCCTCCCCGGCACCCGCCCAGACCCCCCTGTGGAGTCCAGATGCTCTCTTTTGACCCCACTAGAAACCTATCAGCAAAAGCTGTTAGGTAAAAATAAGTCACACCCAGTCCCAGCTTTCACATGGTTCGCCACCGACGAACTATCGGGTCAGCGAGGTGAGCCGCGCCGGCCAGGGACCCCTCTTATCATCCTTGTGAAATAACAAACCAGTATGATCGCGGCGAACCCGCGCATGATCCACGATTGCGAAGGCCTTCCGGCTGGTGCCGCCGACCCTGAAGGGGAACCACGACAACGGCGGCGGCGGCGATGACATCGACGCTGACGTGTGTCAGAGTCCTCATGGATGATTCTCGGGGTCTCTTCGAAGCGCTCTCGGGGGCCTCTCGGGGGCTTCTTGGGAGCCTCTTGGGGGCCTCTCGGGGCTTCCTGGGGGCCTCCTGGGTGCCTCTCGGGGCCTCTTGGGGGCCTCTCGGGGCCTCTTGGGGGCATCTTGGTTCCTCCAGGGAGTCTCTCTGGGCCGAGGGCTCGTCTGGTCTCTCGTCTGGGCACCCTCTTGGAGCCGTCTTGGGGGCCTCTTTTCCTCCGTCTTGAGGCGTCTTGGGCCGTCCTGGGGCCCTCTTGGGCCGTTTTGGATCCCTCCTGGAGCCCTCATGGGCCGTCTTGGAGCGATCTGCAAGGCCTCTTGGGCCGTCTTGGAGCGTCGGGAAGCGAAAGAGGCGAGAACGCCGAAATGCATCAAAAACCAGCGGGAAATCAGTGCTTTCTCCTCTTGGGGCCCTCTTGGGAGTGCTCCTGGAGGCCTCTTGGGGCGTCTTGCAGGGCTCTTGGGCCGTCTGGAGGCCGTCAAGGCGTCTTGGACAGATCTTTCGGCGATTCGGGGCCCTCTTGGACCGTCTTGGGGGTCTCTTGGGGCACTCTTGGCCCGTCTTGGGGCCTTTTTGGGCCCGGGACCCCTTGGGGGGGAGTCGTATCTGACCCGGGATTCCCTTTTTGGGACCCCCCGGCGACCCCCCCAGGACTTCCCCCCCTCCCGGCGGGGGAGGGATCAAAGGGAAGGGGTTTCCCTTCGAGTCAATTCCGACTTTGCTCAATTTCGCTTTGGCTGGCGCGCTTGAGGAGGAGGGCCTAGGGAAGGGGGGCTGGGAGCGGCGACGGGCCCAGCGCTTGAGGAGGACCCAGGGAAAGGGGGGGAGCGGCGACGGGCCCAGGTAACGGGGGGGCGCAGGGAAAGGGGATGACAGAGACGACGACTAACGAATGACGGAGACGACGACTCGAACGGACAAGCCCCTCACACACGCCGGCAGGGTCGGCGGATTTGCTGCAACGTGCACTTTGCCCTGTGTTTGGCGTGACGGCGCGCCTGCGAACAGCGGGCAAGATGATGACGCCCTCGCTTGAACAATGTACGGTGGCCGCGGACCGGCCAAACATGATCCAGAGCTTGCCGGTGGGGATGGTGTGGGAGGGGTGGCGCTGGCCCTGGTTCGGGGCCAGTGCAGTGGAGGCCCATGCCAAGAAACACCCTGCTTGCCTCCAGGGTGCCCTGGGTTTCTTGGGTTTGAATGGTTTTGCTATGGATCGCGTGACGTTCCCACCAGAAATCAATGGACGTTTCAGGGTTGGGATTCTTGTGAAAGGTTTCGTGTGGACTGGCCTCCACTGTAGAGTGGGGGAGGGGTGTGGAGTCATAAGGAGCAGTGGCACGTCCCTCCACGGATAAGGTAGGGGTTTCTAGAAGATGGAAGAGAAGAGCCGCTATTCAGGCGATCGCAAACATGGATCAAGGGGGCGTGGATTAGCGACGGGTCCCGTTTCCATTGGAAATCGCGGATCCGAGTCTCCACCCAGCAGCGGGGAGGAGGAGGAGGAGGAGGAGGAGGAGGAGGAGGAGGAGGAGGAGGAGGAGGAGGAGGAGAGAGGAAGGAGAAGGAGAGGAGAAGGAGGAGGAGGAGGAGGAGGAGGAGGAGGAGGAGGAGGGAGGAGGAGGAGGAGGGTAGCCCCCCCTTCTGGCCAGAGCTGCTGCCCAGGGTTACATGAGGCCCTTTCCCGTCTACCATCTAGCTTTGCCGGATGCGGAGAGGATGCATGGCGAACGGCGCGGTAGAGCTCCGATCTATTGGATGACGCAGCGCCCTGCTACGAGCGACGAGGCAGGGCTGGACCTGATGCCTCGTTTTCCTTTGTGTGGACCTCCTTGGAGACCCTCGTCGACACCGCTGGATTCGCCTCGAAGTCCTGTCAGAACGCATCCCAGGAGAGATCCGGGGAGTGGGGGTATCGGTACCGTTTGGTTTCCCCAAGCGCGCGCGGAGGTCGTGGTGATCTCCCAGTGCGATCTGGGCGGCGCTCTCCCCGGCTGGTTCCAGAACTTGGCGCCCCGCACCACCGCCGTTGCCGCGCTTCTGCGACCACTCGCGGACCCTACCAGTGCTGGTCCAATCGACGCTGAGGTGTAGGGCACCCTTTGGGGTTCACTTGGCTGCAGACATCCCTCCAATTCTGGACCCCAGCCGGTTTTCCAGAACGCTGATCAGCAGGAGTGGGGTTCACATGTGGTTGCCTAGCTCTGGGGGCGCGCTGGGGCTGGTCGGCTTCGCGGGTACTCAGGGGAGTTTCGGGGGGATGTCTCCGCATCACGGTACGTATGTCGAGGAAGCGAACGCAATGGGTCGGGGCGCGTGGATTAGCGACGGGTCCCGTTTCCATACAAAGTCGACGCGCACCGTCGCCAACGGGAGATGGGGCTGCGTTGGCGCTGTGTTTCGGGCGGGCATTGCCCCCCATCCGTGGATCTGGCGCCAACGCGCCAGATCCACCACGGATGCCTACTCAGTGTCGGCGTGTGCCCGAGCGCGTGTCGACGTCAGGTTTCGTCGAGGCCGCCTTCGTCGGGCGCCGTGTGCACGCCGCCAGCAGCAGCGGAGGGATCCCTCGCGAAGCTCTGGCGTGGAGGCGGGGAGCGCGAGGCCCGGGGACCAGCACCCCAACACGCCTGGGCTGGGCGCCTCTGCTGGACGAGCGGCCTCCATCGGCCGGGGAGCCTCGCCTGCACTGCACCGCAGAGCTGACACGATGCTGCCTTTTGTGGAGCCCCGGAGTCCGTCTGGTGGCTCTGCCGCAGGCTCGAGACGGCCGTACCACACGTTTTTTGCTATTCGCGTATCCACACCAGGTTTGGGTCGCTCCCTTCCCGCGCCCGTTTTCCCCGGTCGACGCTGAGATGCGTCTCCTCGAATTTGCTCGGCATGCTTGCATGTGCGGTCGGCTGTCGACAGTGACGGCTGGGTTCGCCAATGATCTGGCTCTGTGCCCCAGTCAGCCCGATTGACCTGCCCTCTGGACTCTTCGCTTGGGCCGCAGATCAAAAAGTATCCCCACCGGCTTCGCGCGCGGCCCGCCCGCTCCGTTACTCGCCGCCTGCGCTTTCGCCGGCGGCTGCGGCAGCAACGTGTCCCCACCGGCTCCCTCTGCGACGGAGCGCGGCCCGCCCGAGCACGCTCGGCGTTCGGCTCGTCTCCGCGCGCCCGCGGACCAAAAAGTATCCCCTCCAGCCCATCCAGGAACGATGCCCCGGAGAGCTGGCATTGTCGGGAGAGCGTGGCATGACGGGGACACCTCCAGGAGCATCAGTGGGCAAGAGGCCCCCTGGGTCTCTTGGGGTGTCCCTTGGGGGCCCATGGGAGGCCCCCTTAGAGCGTCTTGGGGGCCTTCTGTCGGCTCCTGGAGAGCTTCTTTGGAGCGTCTTGGGTGCCGCTCGGGCGCCTCTGGGGGACTCTTGGGGCCTTTTGGGGGCCACGCGGGCGCCTCTTGAGGGCCTCTTGAGGCCAGCGCGTGGAAAAGGGCCGGTGTATTGTCTCGCCTGCCCCGGCTTGGGGCAGGGTCGGGCTGGGCACGCGTGGCTGGCTGGGGGGGTCGCGCGTGGACGACCCGAGAGCCGTCCGTCTGGTGCGCCGCGCCGAGGGCCGCGTCGGGGGCGGGGGGGCCTTCGGAAGTTGAGACCCAGCCGCCCGCGCCCGTCCGTGGTGGGCCTGGCCCCCCCCTCCCCCCCCCCGAACGCGAGCAGCGGCGGGCAAGGCATCGGTCAACCCGTGGAGATGGGGCCCCGGGAACGGTGGCCCCAGGCCAGCCGCCACCACCCAGCAAGCCACGCCAACCCAACCCGAAGGGCCCCAATGGGCCCCCCATTTCCCACTGGAGGGGCGTCGGGGAACATCGAAACAACAGGTATTGAACCCGTACCCCTCCCAACCCGAAGTTTTTGTCTTCGGGTTGGGTTGGGGGGGTCTGGTAGGTCGTCAAACCGGCCCAGGGCGGCCAAGGGTGGTCCAGGCTTGGCTTTTCGGCCCGCGGCGGCGGCTGGCATGTGGATCGACCATGTTCTCGGCCCCGCCGCCGGGGCAATGCGGGGATGTTCCGTGGGCCCGCAGCGCGCGGTCGGCGGGGTACCAGCGCGTCCCTGCGGACTCGAAGTCCGCGGCTGGCCCCCCCAGAAGGCCAACAAGTGCTCAGAACGTGACGAATTTCAATGTTTTTTGTTTTCTCGCTGCCATCTTGGGCGCTCCACCCCCTCGCGAACCCCTCCCGTCTAGACACATGGGGGAGGGAGTATGGGGATGGCGCAAGCCAGTGATCCACAAGCCGCAAGCCATCTCTCTTACTACCCCGCCCTCCCACAACATGTGTAGCCTCCGCGTCTCAGCATGAAAAGGGGCCGCCATCGACCAGCATGGGACCATGGGGAAACAATGCAGACGCCAGCCAGGTGCGCGACGCACGCGAGGTGCGCCGTGCGTGCCAGGGCACCCCCACCATCCCTGACGAACAACAGTTCAAAATGATTCGCGAGGTACCTGCGCACGGTGCAATATCTTGCCGCTGCGTGCGTTTGCGTTGGTTTTTGCAAAAAATGGTGGGCCTGTGCAAGTGGGGTAACATGGTGGCCCCCCTCGTCACTGTCAAAGAGCAACGTAAACTGATCGCGGGACGCCCAAGCATGGCCCAGATTTGCCACACATTGTATTTTGCATTGTTTTTGAAAGGGATGGCTGGCGGGTGTTGGCATTGTTCCTGATCTGTCTCCATTCGGGTGGGGGAGGGGGCGTTCATTTGTGAAAAGCAGAGATCAAGTCCTGCCCGAAGGGGAATAAAGGGGGGAAGATGGAAGAGGAAATGCTCTGAATCACCTCAGCGCTGAGGGCTGGTGGGACTTGTGTTTTCAGAGCCCAGCGAGCCAGCACATGCATCAGCTCCCTTTTCCCCAGATGCCAGGGGGCCGCAGCATGTATCGGCTCGCCTCCCCGGTGGAGGGAACCCGTGCTTTGTAACTCCTGAGCTCCCAGCGGGCTAGACGCTTGCAACATGTGACGTCGCGGCATAGGTATTCCTCAGACCTCCCGCGTGTCGTCATCCGTCAGTGCGGAGTTTTTTTTTTTTTGTCTGTGGTTCTCGGTGTCTCGGGGCCCTCTCCCAGCCCCGAGGCCGTCAAACAATCGGCTGGGGCGCCAAGCTGGTCTCCCGCGAGTGGTCGTCCAGAGCTCCAGGGACCCCAGATGGAGCAGATCAAGACATCGGGTGTCCTGGTCCCAGCACTCCCCAGGCGTTAGCTAGCGAGTTTCTTTGGATCTTCTCTGGGCTTTGGGCCGCTGCCATGGGGGTTCTTCCTGGACTGAACTGTGGAGGGTCTTTCGGTCGGCTGGGGGGTCTTGGGGCAGTCCCGGAAGTTGCTGGGGCCCGTCTAGCTTGCGTCTTGGGGGCTGTTCGGGTCGGTTTCGGGCCGTCTTGTAGCCGTCTTGGGACGATGTGCGGGGTCATTGCGTTGTCGACGGGAAGTGCGACAAGTTGAACACATTGGTGCACCAGCTTCCTGCCTAGGCGTTTAGCATGTCGCAGGCCTCTTGGAAGGCTTTTTGGAAGACTTAGGGGGCTTCTTGGGCGCCCCTTGGGACTTCCTTGGTGCCTTGTGGGGGCTTCGTCGAGGCTCGTAGGACTTTTTGAGGCAGTATCGGGCTGGCGATTCTGACGGCTTTCGTGGTCCGTCTTGCAAGCTATCTTGGCAATGTTGGAGGCGCTGGAGATCGTCTTGGTGGCGTTATGGCGCCAGGGAAACCTCAGAAGAGGTGTGTGATACATGCAAGGGGGTGCGAAGAGGAGGGGGCGGGGTATTAGACAACTGTCTGCATGCAGCAAGTGCATGATGTCTTAGACGTCAATTTCACTATACTGCTCCAATGGCGAAGGGCCCCATCCCTGGTCCGCTGGCCCTGTGTGCTTCCTGGCTCTTGGCTCCCTTCCTTCCCCTTTCCCTTCTGTGCCCCCCTGCCCTTCTGTTCCCTTGCCCTCGTGTGTCGTGTCTCCTCCCTCCCTCCCTCCCCCGGCTTGGCTCCCTCCTTTCCGCTTCCCCGTCCCTCCGTCTGTCGGCCCCGTCTGTCCCTTCCCGTTGTCGTCCTTCTTGTCCCTCCCCCCCTCGCTCCCCGGCTCGTCGTTTCCCCGCCTATTTTGGTTCTGTCCCTGGCCCGCTTTTCTTTGTCGGCCCGGTCCGGATAAGAGTTGCGTTGGCTGGTATAGCGGCACCCTCGTCATGAGAAAGATGGCCCAGCGCTGCGCGCTCCAGGGTTGCGAAAGAAAGAAAGAAAGACAGAACTGGTCAGACTGATCATCAAAATGTTACCATGATTGGTGCCTGGATGGGGTGCGCCGATCCTCAGTTGAAAGCTACAGCAATTCGGTGGCCATTTTGGCTCAAGCTGGATTTCAGCTTGGACTTGGCACTGGAAACGCGTTGCTGCTGATTGCGACTACCGTTGCGTTGTGGGTCATTGCCTTCGTCCACGTCGCCGTGACGTGCATGATACTTGTGTCTCCATTTGTGTGTTTCTCTTGGCAGCCATGGGTAGCCCGCACGGCCCAGGCCCAGTATTGGATGGTGTGATTCACGCCAGCGTTGCAGTCGGGAGATGCTGGGAGTGCGCAATCAGCATACCTCGATACAGGGATCCACGTCTTCTATGATTCTCGGGAACACGAGCTGGCAAACATGTTCCTGCTCACTGGTCGGAGGGCGACCTGCGCCACGACGCGCGAGGCCTTCTGCTGCGAAGTGGGGCCCAGGTTTCCCAGCTTCCCGACGATCCCAAGCATGCCGGACGTTGGACACCTTCTGCGGCGGCTTCTTCGGTTTGATCTCGGTGTGCTCCCGGACGAGGTGCTCGGGCTCTCGCTCGCCGTGGCGTCGTGTCTTGCAATCGCTCTGCACGTGCGCGCGCCCGCCCGCCGGGCGTCGGCAGCTCGCGCGCGCCGTATCGGGCAGCGCAGCGGTCGCGGAGGTCCCTCGGCTTGTGGGGAGGATTTCGGGGCCTCCGGTAAGAAGGCCCCAAGGCTGCCCAGGATTTGTAAAACGACGCGAAGATCGGGACAAAATCGGATCGGGATAACTCGAAATCTCTGAGAATCGGAGGGTTTGGAGGATGTATTAGACGCCGCGGCCGCTCCAGAGCGTTCCGGAACGCTCTGAGAGCGCTCCGGAACGCTCTGGAGCGATTTATCCCGATCCTAGCTCTGTTTTAACTTGGACGCCCGAAATGGGCACGGACAGACTGGGTACGATGCCCAACAGCAGCTCCTGTTCATTCTGAACAGGATTCCGCTGTTCACGCCGCCGCGGCCGGTGTCCACTCGAGACAGAAGGCCGCCTGCCCAACCAGCGGCCGCCGTTGGTTTGGGACAACATTTGTTGTTGGGCATTGATGAGCCTGTTTTCAACCACCACCACCATGAGTTGGAGGAGGAGGACGAAGAGGAGGAGGAGGAGGAGGAGGAGGAGGAGGAGGAGAAGGAGGAGGAGGAGGAGGAGGAGGAGGAAGAGGAGGAGGAGAAGGAGGAGGAGGAGGAGGAGGACCCCCCCTCCAACTTATGGTGGTGGTGGTGGTGGAAAACACGCCCATCAGGCATTGTGCCCATTGTTTCCGTGCCCATTTCGGGCGTCCAGACAGGATGGCAGGAGACTCCCCGACACAGCGTCCCAGGTTCAGACGGACACCACAGGGGCCACCGTAGTGCGCTCCACAGGCGTCTTCTCTTTTGTCTCTCTGCCTCGCCAGTCACGCCCACTTGTCCTCCAAGCTCGGGGTCCGTGGCAATATCCTGTCTGGAGGATCTGGGGCTTCCAGTGGCGCCCTTGGGAGGCTTCGTGGCCACTTGGAGGTGTTTGTGGGCGGTGTGGTGGCCTCGTGGTGGCATGCAGGAATCTGCATTGCGCCTTCTTGATCTGCCATGTGCCATCTGGGATGACATCTGGGCCATATCGGGCCATCTCTGGGCCATCCTTAGTCCATCTTGGGCGCTCTGACCCGTCGTTGCGCGCCCCTTCAGGCCTACAGGAGGGGATCGTTGGAGTGGTGATCTCATCCCAGAAGGGGAAGAAGTGGATTCGAAGAACGAACAACCTCCTCCTCCTCCTCCTCCTCCTCCTCCTCCTCCTCCTCCTCCTCCCCGCCAAGCCAACCAAACACGCCCAGACGGACGGCGAGTGGTGCTTGTGTGGCCGTGCCTCTCCTGGCAGCTCCTCGCGGCCCCGCCGCAGTGCGGATGGTGCTTTCAATGTTCGATGGGTTGGAACGCCAGGCGCAGGACGCCAGGATCCAGACACTCACGCTGACGATGCCGTTTAGATCATGCGAGATTGGGCGCGATCTGGCCGAGCTGATTCCAGCAATCCCTGGCGCAGTTTCCTTTCCTGCCTGCGTAGCTCGCCTCATGCACACATACCTTTTCGCACAGAGCCGCAGCAGACTTCTAAACTTCGCCCTGCCCTTCCCCCGTTCCTCTTGTCATTCCACTTGCTGATAGTTATGCATTGCCGTCCTCGGGTTTCCAAACTTTACAGGAAACGTGGGTCGCTGGAGCGGGCTCGCGCGCGCTACATATGTAAAGGCTTCGCACAGCGTGCACGGCGTTTTGCGATGGGCATGGGCTGCGAGGAGGAGGAGGAGGAGGAGGAGGAGGAGGAGGAGGAGGAGGAGGAGGAGGAGGAGGAGGAGGGGCACGGGGGCGGGGTGCGGGGGGCGGGACGGGGGACGGGGGACGGGGGAGGGGAGGAGAGGAGGAGGAGGAGGAGGAGGAGGAGGAGGAGGAGGAGGAGGAGGAGGAGGAGGAGGAGGAGGAGGAGGAGGAGGAGAGGGAGGAGGAGGAGGAGGAGGAGGAGGAGGAGGAGAGGGAGGAGGAGGAGGAGGAGGAGGAGGAGGAGGGGGAGCCTTTCTCCAACCCCCTGCGCCGCAGGCGCGGCGACTCGCAAAGAGGCGCGCGGTGAACTGGGCGCACAAGCTCGGGGAGCCGCGCGCGCCTGTCTCGGCCCGCCCCTCTCGGTGGCGAGGGCGAGGAGGGACGTCTTCCGCGCCGTCGGAGGTGTGGCGGTCAGGACGCCGGGATAGAGGCCGCTGTGGGAGGGGGCGGAGGACATGTGAGACGTTCCAGAATCAGGAGGAAAAGAAACACACAGACACAAGTCATCGTCGATTCTCCAGAAAATCTGGGAAGTGGTGGGGAAGACGAGATCAGGGAGAATTATGGGAAAATATGGGGACTATTTTTACTTGTGTGTATCTATTTGTGTGTCCTGGGGCCCCTTCACAGAAACGGCCTCGCCTTCGAGGGTCGAGGGGGGCTGTCATCTCTTCCTCGGCGGAAGCCTGCGGCAGGCCGGCTCGAGGCGCTGGAAGTGAAACGAGGCCGCCCCCGCCAGCGGATGCTGGCGGATGGCGAGAGTGGTCGGCTCAGGGCTTCCGGACGCCGCCGTGTCCGCATCCGCAGCATCGCGGCCTGGCCTTCGGGGCCGCCCCCCCGTGGATGCGGGGCGCTCTTGCTGAGGCTGCCCCCCGCGCGGAACGTGTCCGTGCGACCCGCGTACTCCAGATTTCGTAATAAAGGGAGGGGGGTCTCATTTCGGGGGGGGTCTCTTCCAGGCTATCTTGGAGGGCCTGGGGGGGTCTGGGGACGATGTTTTGGAGGGCTGAAATGGCTTGTCTTGGAGGGTCCAGACCCCCTCCCTTTTATTACGAAATCGGGAGTATCCATGGGAGCGCGCCCCGGAGTCCAGACCGCGAGGGCTGGGACATGGACGCGTTGGCCGCTCGCGATTCGGGCTCGAGGGCGGCAGACGCGTGGGCCCCAGCGGGGCCCCAAGAGGGGCCTCCTCGTCCGCCTCCTCGTCTGCCTCCTCGTCTGCCTCCTCGTCGTCGTCGCCTCCCTCCCGTCGTCTCTCTTTTCCCTCGCCTCTGCTGGGTTCTGGACTGGCGGCAGCTCCCCCACTTTGGCGGCGAGCAAGGGGGGACAAGAGAGGGAGAATGCCTTCTCAGAAGGCGGCGAGACTTCTCAGACGCCCTCGCGCCTTTGAGAAGTTGTCTGTGTCTTCCAGGGAAGCTTCGAAGACTTCTCCGGAGGCCAGGGGACTTCTGAGCCTTCTGAACAAAAGGCCCGTCCGTTCTCACTTCCCCGTGGGGCTCGCCGCCGACCAATGTAGCCGCACGTCGCCAGCACGCACTGGCCAGGCCTCATCCTTTTTGCGATGCCCGCGCTGAACACAGTTTGCCAGCGTTCATTGGTTTGGGTATTATTTGCTGTAGCGCGTGCTGTGGACAGTTGCAGCACGACTGGTGACGGGCATGAGTACTGTCGGGCTCCCAAGACGCTCCCTTGAATGCTCCCAATCAGCCTCCAGGGCTGGCATCCGCAAGCCCTCCGAGAGGCCCCCGAGAGAGGCACCCCAAGAGGCCCTGATATTATGCATCCTGCCACCGGCGAAGCGCCATGCGTCGGACAACACGGACCGGCAGAGTGAGCGCAGCGGTCCGCCGCCCAGCCGGGGGGCGGCGCGGGAGGTCCCCGCCGCATGGTCTGCAAGGGGATTCAGTCCCTGCAGTCGTCTTACCTTGGCATCGCTCGGACGTGTGCATTTTTCCTTCGGTGAGGACCATCGAGGAGCATCCTTGATCATTTGGCGAAAAAACCACGCACGAAACCGAACAAAAACACAGGGAATGGACGTCCGAGCGATGGCCAGATACATGTTTACTCCTCGCACCCCCTCCGGAGAGCCATCGGAACCCCATCGTACGGTTCCCCCCGCGGCCTGCTCGCTCGGCCGGCCGAGGGGCCCCGGCTGCGGACTGGGCGTCCGTTGGCCGCCACGTTGACCTCAATCACGCACGCCTTCGCGCAGGAGACCTCTGGACGCCTGCCGGGGGGCTGGCGAGGGTGCGCCGAGCTCTCGACGCGCCGCTCGTGGGGAGACCAGAGACACCCACGCCGCTGCTGCCCAGACCCCTGCCGGGGTGCGGTTCCGGCCAGGATTTCGGAGCGAATCCGGCCGTGGCGACGAGGGCCTCCCAGGAGGCCCAAACGGGGGAACACGAGACCAGGGAGGCGGCATTGGCAATGGTGCCGCTTCCTCCTCTGACAAAGCGGGCTTGCCCATCTCGGCGTCTCGGCAAATCGTTGGGGCCGCGGTGCCCACGGCCCGTCTCGGGCCGGGCCAAGGCACGGCAGCCCGGTCGCGCAGCAGAGGAGCACGGCATTTTTCTATGCTTGGCGGCGCCCAGCAGTGGGTGGCGCGAGGAGGGCGCGCGGCCTTCGAGGGAGGCGGCGGGGATTCCCAGTCTGAAGGCAGGCGCTTCCACAGAGGGGCCCGACGGCTTCTGATCGGGCCTCTGAGCGCCCGCCGGGCCCTTCGAATGCGGCCAGCGCGAGGCAGAGGGTGCAGGTCGGCTCGGGGAGGGTACCCCAGATTTCGTAATAAAAGGGAGGGGGTCTGGACCCTCCAAGACAAGCCATTTCAGACCCCCCCCGTGGGAGAACCCTCCAAAGCATCGTCCCCAGACCCCCCCAGGGCCTCCAAGATAGCCTGGAAGAGACCCCCCCCCGAAATGAGACCCCCTCCCTTTATTACGAAATCTGGAGTACCCTGATGTTCTTCGTGCGTGTTGGATGTCTGGATGCATCCTGGAGGAATGCACCAGCGAATGCTCTTCAGTTCGGGCCAGCGGAGGGTCCGTAGCCATTTTGGCTCAAGCCGCTTTGGCTCAACCGTCCTGTGGCTCGAGTGATCGCGGCTCCTCGGCGCACGCCTGTCTGCTTCCATTGCAGACCAGAGCTCGCACCTCATCTCGCCCAGATGGCGCCGCACCGCCGCAGCGAGTTCATGGAGCTCAGCAGCGACAGCGACGCGGCCGCGCCGGCCTCTGGCTGGAGCACCGGCAGGGTCCTCGGATGCGCAGCGCTGGCCTGTGCCGCCTGCGCCGGCGGCGGCTTCGCGGCAGGTCGCGGCGCCGGCTCGCTCGGGGGCGGCCTCGCGGCTAGGCGTGACCTGCTGCAGGTGCTGGCAAAGCCGGCGCGGGAGAAGTGCAGCGACGTGTCTGCGGACTGCTTCGACACGGCGTGCTGCGACGTGGCTGGCTTCACCTGCTTCGTGACGACCACGCCTGGCTCGGCCCAGTGCATGAAGAACTGCACGCCCAGCGAGACGACGGCCTGCGCGGTGCCTGTGCCCAAGGCTGGCGAGCCGATGTACTTGGACAACGCCGTAGCACCCGGAACATCGATGTACTGCTTCTCCGTTTACATGGCAGACACCGGCAGCGACGGTAAAACTGAGCGCCCAGACGAGCTGAATTTGCTGAAGGCGGCGTACGACAGGAAGATAAGCATCTTCGCGTGCGAGCAGTGGGGCATCTTCAGCGACAAGCCAGGCGACCTGAAGCCCGGCGTGCCCTTCGTGGCGGTGGACGACGCCGATGGGGACTTCCACATTCTCAAGCGCAAGGAGACTGGCACTTGGATCAACACAGGATTGCACACACAGGTCTGGAAGGCGATCAGGGCTGCGGGAGACTACCAGCACGCCAGCTGGGTGGTCAAGGTAGATTGCGATGCCATGTTTTTGCCGAGCCGCTTGAGGCCCTTCCTTGCCTCCCAGGGCGAGCCTGGGAGCGGTGTGCCTGGCATCTACCTCGAGAACTGCAAATACTGTAAGTGGGGTTGGTTCGGGAACTTGGAGATCATGTCAGTGACTGCCGCCCAGACGCTGTTCCCGAACATCGAATGGTGCAAGCAGGTCCTGGATTGGAAGACGGGAGTGGAGGGCGGCAAGTACGGGCCGATGGGGGAGGACCTTTTCGCTCAGAGCTGCTTGGACGCCATGGGTGTGCGCCGCGGCGGGGCGTTCGACACTGTTCTGGACGCGGCCTGCGAGGCGGATCGCCCAGAGGACCAGAAAAAAAACAAGAAATGGAGGCCCGACTGCACGGAGAGGAAGACTGCAGCATATCACCCCATGATGAAGGTGGGTGATTACGTGAAGTGCTTCGAGAAGACGGTAGAGACATTCGGGTATTGAGTTCTCAGGAGACGCGCTCTGTGAAATACTTCGAAGAAGTGGTAGTGCAAGAGCTGTTGCCCGAGATTCGTGCACAGTTTTGCCATCGGCATGTTTTTTAGGCTGCCACGAGTCAATGTCCTCGTGGCGCAGTGCTCGGTCGATGCGAGGCCCGTATCCTCCGAGGTGCGCTTGTGGTGGACCAGCGGCGCGCAATAATCAGGAGGGGAAAAAACACACAGACACAATTAATCCTCGATTCCCCAGAAAATATAGGAAAATATGGGCATTGGGGGGAAGACAAAAACCCAGAAAATATGAGAAAATATAGGTGATATTTTGATTTGTGTGTATTTATTTGTGTGTCCTGGGGCCCCTTCAAATAAACATACGACTGATGATCTCTGGGATGTCGCCAGGGGGAGATGCCTTCTCCCGCGGTGACCTATCGATTGCCGACTGCGCAGCTGGAGGCTCGGAACCCGGGAGTGCGTGCCTGTCCACGGAAAAAAAATGTTTGGGCCAGCGGAGGCTCTCCTGCTCTTGTCAGGGGGAAAAGAAACACACAGACACAATTAATCGTCGACTCCCAGGAAAATATGCAAAAATATGGGAAGTGGGGGGGGAGACAAAAACCCAGAAAATATGGGAAAATATGGGGAATATTTTTATTTGTGTGTATTTATTTGTGTGTCCTAATTTCCCTTTATCTTGGGGGAGCTTCTTCTGTCCCAGGTCCCCGCTGTACAGTGGGGCTCCATGCCAAGAAGCACCCTGCTCGCCTCCAGGGTGCCCCGGGTTTCCTGGGTCTCGATGCTCTCACGGTGGAAAGCGCGACGCCCCCGCGCCAAGAGTCCATGGACGTCCCGGGGTCGCAGGGTGGGGTTTCTCGTGGAAGTTTCTTCTGGACGGGCCCCCGCTGCATGGCCCCTGCCTTCTGCGCAGCCCCGCCGCCCCCCCGGGGGGGGCCGCCGCCCCCCCGGGCCCCCGCTGCATGGCCCCTGCCTTCTGCGCAGCCCCGCCGCCCCCCCGGGGGGGGCCGCCGCCCCCCGGGGGGGCCGCCGCCCCCCTACTCGCGCCCCCCCCCCCCCCTGTGTGCGCCGCCGGTGTGTGGCCTGCCGGCTCTGCAGAGCCACGGCGTCCTTGACAGCTCGAGCAGTGGCGAAGCGTCTTGGGACCGTCCTGGCTCGCCTATGGGCCCACCAAAGAATGTTCCGAGAGCCTTTTCTGTGGTTTGCACGACGTGTTCTTAGAACATTTCTGGCGGGGTCTGTTCTGTGTTAACGCATCGGGTTCATGTTCTGAGAGCGCTGCTTTTTGTTCTTAGAATATTTTGGGGTTCGTGGTAGGCCCATCGGAATTCTGGGACGGTCGGTCCCTGCTCAGACAGTATGGTCGGACCGAGGTATAAGATCGAGGTCGGGGTGCGGGGAGGGTACCCTATTGCTTAGTGGGCCCTGGAAACGACAATGCCGTTTTCGACCGTATTGGTGGACTCAACCTTGCACCTGATCGCGCTACCTGCCAGAGGCGCGCACATTCGCACGTTCTCGCCCACATCGGCGTTGCGGTTCATGCGCAGCAGCATCCTATTATACAGTCCAGAGCTAGGAGGATCACGCGTTACTTGGACGTTGCATTGAAACCTCAATCTGCGCGTAAGCTTGCGATCTTAATTAATGGTTTCATCGTGCCGACACTACGTCATCAAGCAATCATGGGAGTTACGGTAAGTAAGTTGTGGAATGATGACAGCCATTGGGGGCGTGATTGCGATGGCAATCTGTCTGCTGCAGTTGGTAGAAGTTGGCGGACGATGTTTGCCTGCAGGAGTAAGATCACATCCATTACCTAATCGATCCCAGTGTCCTCCTCTACGTTTTGCCCTTGCGCGAATTTAGGTGCTCCAATGGATTTGGCATAGGAACGGCGTTCTTGGGTATGGCAATGGATTCCTGAGGTATCCCATTGTGTTCCTCCGGTATGGCAATCGATTCCTTGGATACGGCAAGGTGTATCTTGGGTATGGCAATGGAGTCCACCATATTCCAATATAACCATAATTATGTGCATGCGTATGCATTCCTATGGGATCTGATGGAGCCATGTGGTGGTAAAAGGGGACCAACCCAACCCAATGGAGTCCAACAGGGTCATTGGAGTCCAATTCAGTCGTTGCAGTCAAGTCGAGTATTTTTTATTTTGAGTCAACGCATGTGGAATCCTCTGGTAATCTCGTTCGTCGTCCCTCACCTCCTCTTCCATGTTTTCGCACTGAGCGTTCGTTGCCATTTCTTGTGCAGCTGGTTCCCCAACCATGACCACATATTCAGACGGATGCCTGGGATCGTGCCCTGCGGGGCTGCGATGGCCAATTTTGAGCAGCCGCCGGCTGGAGGTGGAGCAGCAGCCACGCTTGTGCCGCAGGTGAGCAGACAGGCGCGTCGTGCCGCTGAACCTCGTGCGCGCCCCGCGCACGGAGGAGAGGGGGGGGGGCCTGTGCCGTCGCCAGGATCACTGCCGCTCCCTGCGGCGAGAAGCTGCAGCCCCGTGAGGCGCCGCTGCGTCTGTCGGCCAGGGGCATTGTGTCTGATGTTTTTTTGTCTTCGCGCGCACACTGACGTGTCCAGCAGGTGTGTGATCGCGCGCCAGTGCCCGAGTCCGTTATCGACACGACCGCGCCCTGCGTTTGCGCTTGCTCGCTCGCACACGGTGATTTGCATGGAGTGTTTGTAGGCGGAGAGGTCCGACCACGTCATTTGTGACGTACGATATTGCACAGCTTCTGGTAGGGAGAATGCACCGTTTGTGCAATTCGCACGGTGATGCATCGAAGCCAGGAACATCGCCGTGGAATGAGGCCATGCTGGGCATGGGACGATATCGGTGCAGCAAGCATACTTGCGGAGCTTCTTGGAGTGGGGCAGGTGTTCGGTGAGGATTTCGATCCGTTTGGAGGCTGGAGGGCAGTTGATGTTTCAGGTGCAGTGGTTGTTCCGTCAGGGCAGTTTATGTCTGAGGTGCACTTGATGCTTGAGTGCATTGATGCATTATGAGCTTCATGTTGGGATCTCCAGTTCGAGCGTGTGTGGCAGTGCTGCGGTCGGGGTCAGCTTCTGCTCATGTCTCGCCGAGCAGTGCTCGAGCCCTCTGCCACGCAATAGCCCGGCCCAGGTGTCCCCACTGACACCGCCGGTCGCACCTGAAATGGCTGCGCTGCCATCGCCGTCCCTCCCTACGCATGCTCTTTGCCCGCATGGCAGAATACCTTTCTCCGCATTCTTCGGATAATCTAATGGCAGAATTCCTTTTTTCCCGAATGCCAAATACGCTGGGAAAAGGCTGCGCCATCAATTTGCGACCGATCGTCCCCTTGTCATCATGCATGTTTATCGTCACCGACTTGGTTGTTTCAGCTGGCGTGCCGCAATCTGAAATGTCAGGCGAGGAAGAGTTTCATGTGGGTGGCTAGATGCGTGCATCATATTGCGAGTGGACTGGAAGCAATGCCTTGCATCATTACTAGAGCTCCGGCCTCTTCATTGTGTGTACGTTCCCGAGAGCAGCGTTTGTATCAAGAGCTTTGTACGGTAGGTTCGCGTCGTATTGACCAGCGGCGACCCCGCCGCAGGCGGTCAACGTTGAGCGCCGCTGGCGAGCTTGAAGCGTTCGATGTTGAGCACGATCTGACGTTTCGGAGTCGGCGGATCGTTCAAGGCCGAACGATCCCCGCGGTGTCGGGCACCGACGCCGAAGTCGGCACGACACGGACCTGCAGCTGCCCCTGTCCGTTGGGCGGTGCGCTGCCGTGGCAGTGCCCCGCAGGGCGGGGCCCTGGCCGCAGCTGTCCCTGCGCTCGTCGGGCGCCCGGCTGCAGCCAAGACGCTGGAACGGAGGACAGCACAATTCACCCCAGGTGCCCGTGTTCGTTGGGTCAGCCGGTGGTTGGTCAGACAGTCCCTCAGCAGACCATTTACCTTGGTTGCCCGCGTTCATTGGGTCCGCTGATAGTTGGCCATAGCCACCCGCCCATGACAGGTGGTGCTGGCCTGGAGTTATTCTGTTCGTTGGGTCCCCAGGTATTCGGCCAGGGGGTTGCGGCCAGTATGGTCCCGTTCGTCGTCTGTTCCTCTTGGCTCGGTACTTCGATGTTTTGCCAGACAGCCCCACCCATGGACTCCTGCCCTTGTTCGCATTCCTTGCCCTGCTGAATTGATTTGGGCCCACACGCCGATACCATGTGTTTAGCCTCATGCGCCTAGTGTCAAGTATATGAACCACAATCAAGCAGTGGCGAAGCGTCCTGGCGTGCCTATAGTCCTACCAAACACTGTTCTGAGAGCCTTTCGTGGTTTCCACGAAATGCTCTTAGAACATGTCTGGCTGGGACTGTCTTGTTTGAACAATGGTTAATGCTCTAAGAACATTGTTTTGTTCTTAGAGCATTTTTCGGTTCAAATATCATTTCGTGGTCGGACTATAGGAATGTCGGGACGGTCGGTCTTGCTCAAAGTCGGGGTCTAGACGACCCTACCCAGGGAGCCACCCCCAAAGTCCCCCGAGAAGCCGAGTCCTCCTTCCCGTCGCATTCCTTCACGGCACTGGCGACATGGACTGGGTTGTGATTCCGAATCTCAATCCGCGTTTGGTTCCCAGTCCAAATTTGAGTTCAGGGTGAGTCCATGTATGCCCTCGTTGGGTATAGAAATGCAAGCGTCTTGTAATGTATTTATCGCAAAGCGTTTCGCGTCCTTCATCGCGCATGCCGGCCATTTTTGCTTGTTGTGATTGGTCCTTCGGTCGTGTTGGTGATGCGAGGTTCGTTCTGTGTACTAGGAACTGTCGTTGGTGTCCTTATTAGTGTTGGTCAGGGCACCCTGAGCTTACCCTTCACTCTCCCATGCCAATATATGTTCCCTAGGGACACTTCCCAGCGATGTTGGGCGTATCATGGGTTGCGCGGTGCTATTCCGAATAGTGGATTTCATTAAAATCGGTTCCCATCTCCACTTCCAGTCGTTATCTTGGGGCCGTTTGGCATCCAGCAGCATGCGATGACAAAGGGAGAGCATACATAACGCATCTTTGGCAGTCACTCTGGAATATCGTAGGCGATTTCTCGCCCCCACTCCCCGACATCCGTTCGACAGCTTACGTCGCTCGAAAAAGGGGGAACTCGGGCCCCCCAGGGGGCTGTCGTAGATCCCCGAGTTCGGCCCCAAAGTTGTTCCTGTGTGAAAACCCGACGAAGTCGGGGACTGGTGGTCGCCATGCCCCCCTGTCAGAATGACTCTCCGCACGAATCCCATTCTCCGGCCTCTCGTTTACAGTCAAAATCCGTAGCCAGGATGCGCTGCTTCATCAAGGCTACCCTTGCATCCCTGCTTCTTTGGCCCAGCCTGAGCCAATGTTGACGTCCAAGAAGCTCTGAATGGCGGATGGGACCTCCAAGGCTCTTGCATCCTCACCTTGTATCCTTCCTATGGATTTTGACTGCAGCTCTCCGGGCAGAGGACCGCCAGCAGGAGTGCCCTGCCCCTGCGGGGACCTGCCCTGCGACGCCTGTGTGCGCAGGAAGTCTGCGAGCGGACGGGTCCGAGCGCCGACGTGGTCCGTCCGTTGCCGCTGCTGGAAGCGCCTCCCACCAGACATGCTCGCGTCGTGACAAGAGTCTATTTTTCCTAGCGTCGGGCGATCACTCGGGTCATCAGGCCCGCCCGCCCCCCCTGGATCACCTGACCTTGTCGGTTGCGCAGGCCCGAAGCGGGTACACAGTACCGGCGCGCGCGGGCAAACGTGGGGCCGTCCAAAGCGAAAAGGTCGGGTCATCGGCCAGGACCTCTCCTCCCCCCCCACACCAGATAGCCTGGGTTATCGCCGAACTATTGGTTCACTACTGTATATCACCATCGCGACGGGAGGTTGTGGCCGTCTCGGGACTTCGGAGGCCCTCGCGGGGCCCCGAGGCAGTCAGAGACGGCTCCGGATGGAAGGGCGGCCACGGGGCAAAGGGTCGGGGCTCCCGGGGGCCCCGTGTGGCAATCGCCAGGGCATCGCACGTCTGGGCCTGCGCCTGGCTCCGAGGATCCTCGGCACGCGTGCGCCAAGTCTCTGTGTGCTGCTGCCCCGCCCGCGGGCTTCCTCTGCCGCCCCCAGCGCCCCCGGGCCGCGTGACCGACCCGCGCGCTCTCGCCGGGTCTGCAGCAAGAGCGAGCGTTGCCGCGCCCAGCTCCGCCGATGGCCCGCGGCCTGTGTCGGCCCCCGAGCACGCCGCCTGCGTCGCTCTGCAGGGCCGCGGTGGACAAGCACACGCTGGCGGCAGCCCAAGAAGGAGCAATGATATATATATATATATATATATATATATACGTTCGGAGGTCCGCGCGGATTTCTCGGATCGGCGTTGGCCCCCATGGCGGCGCCTCCGGCGCCGCTCCTGGCGCGCTCGAAGTCCAGCGCCGATCCAGAAAATCCGCGCGGAGGATCATCGAGAGGTCTCGTGCCCCTTCCGCCCCCATGCCGCCGCCTCTACCTCTGAGGTGTTCGAGGCTCGAGGATCGAGGCTCCATCGAGGATGGAGGTTCGAGGGCCTGGGCTCGATCGAGGATCGAGGATCGAGGCTCGATCGAGGCTCGATGGGTTGAGGCTCGATCGATCGAGGCTCGGCTCGACCCGCGCTTCAGCCTCCGCCTCCACCTCGGAGGCCGACTGCTCTCCCTGCGCAGCCGCTCTCTCCTCAGCTGCGGGGGTGGGGCCGATGCGTTCGCGCCATGGCGTGCGCGGCGCCGCCAGCTGCCATGGAAGCCTGGGGCTCTCATCGATCCGCCTCCGTCGCGCCGTGAACAGATCACGACGGATGCTTCTGTTCCTCGTTTCGCCCTCCGTGGGCCCTCGCCGGGGCCAGGGACCGTCAACAGAAAGGCGCAGGATGGAACGCCAGTCCCAGCCCCGGGGAGTGGGTCGAGACCTCTGGTGGGGTCCACGCCGCGAAACCGTCGCGACGCCATGAGCTTCGGGGCGGATCGTTCCGTGTCCTTCTCTAGGGGGTCACATGTGAACCCTACCCCTCCCCCCCACGATTTCTGAGGGGAGGGTGCGGTCCACTTCGCTCGGGATCTCCCGAACGAAGTGAACCCCACCCTCCCCCTCGGAAATCGTGGGGGGTAGGGGTAGGGTTCACATGTGGCCCCCTATTCTCATGGGCTTTTTCTCACTGCCGTTTCGCTGAAGACGGCTCTTCTAGTGGTACACCTTAGGCGATGCTTAAGAAAACCTAAGTTTTCGGCCAGGGTCTCGATTATTCTTAACGTTTCAATGTGAATCTTAAGATTTTAACAGAAAGGTTGGGTTTTTATTCAAGTTCTGAGACTATGAATTTCTTAACCCATGATTTCTTAAGCATTTCGCAGGGTGTATTCTCATGTGCTTTTTCTCACTGCCGTTTCGCTGAAGACGGCTCTTCTGGTGGCAAAGCCAGGGCCACAAGAAGAGTCCCACAGGGGCGACGGGGCGCCCGAGGTCGCCCGGCCCGACAGCTGCTTCGCCGGAGGCTTGCGCAGGAGGAGGAGGAGGAGGAGGAGGGGGAGGAGGAGGGGGAGGGGGAGGAGGGGGAGGAGGAGGAGGGGGAGGGGGAGGAGGGGGAGGAGGAGGAGGAGGAGGAGGAGGAGGAGGAGGAGGAGGAGGAGGAGGGACAATTGACTCAGGAGTATTTCCACCCATTGCTGGCTACAGTGTTGGTCTGCAGGGCCCCGATCCCCTGTAACAGAAGCGTTGAGGTGCACACGGGCGTGTCTTGACGCTCGTTGCGGCTCCTGCTCCTGGTTCCTGTTTGCGACGGCCTTGCACTGAAGTTGTCGAAGTGGTGAGCTTACGCGCTCATTCGTTCGTGCAGGGCCTCGTCTTCTCGGGCAGCACGTCCAGTCTTGCCCTTGTCGCCCCCCCTGCTCCCCCCTGCTGCCCCCTGCTCCCCCCTCCCCCCCCGCGCCCTCCCGTCTCGCCGTCCCCGGTCTCCGTGCCCGTTCCCGTCCTCCTCCCCGCCCCGCTGCCCGCCCCCCCCGTGCCCCCGCTGCCGTGCCCGCCCGTGCCCCTCGTCCGCGCGCGTGCCCCGCACAGATCTCCTCCTCCTCCTCCTCCTCCTCCTCCTCCTCCTCCTCCTCCTCCTCCTCCTCCTCCTCCTCCCTCCTCCTCCTCCTCTCCTCCTCCTCCCCCTCCTCCTCCTCCTCCTCCCCCTCCTCCTCCCCCTCCTCCTCCTCCTCCTCCTCCTCCTCCTTCCCCTCCTCCTCCCCCTCCTCCCTCCCCTCGCAGCGTCTCGCTGGAGCGTCCCCACGGAGGTCAGGTGGGGCCCCAGACGAGGCCCACCTCAGACCGCCCGGTCCGGCAGCCGTTTCGCCTGGGGCCGTCCTTGCACTCTTGTGGTCTGGAGTCGCGCTCTCGCCCCGGTGCCAGCTGCATGTGTGTGGTCCCGACGGCCACGACCCTCGTGGAGCAAGTGACGAACCAACAACACACACCCAGACCCATAGGGTGGTCGGAGAGGGCTATGGGTGCGTGTTGTCAGATGGGGGCACTCGCTCGAAGGGGAGCGTTCCCCAGGGTCCGACAACCCGCACCCATACCCATAGCCAGTCCTCCTCCCAACGACCCCCCTATGGGTATGGGTGTGTGTTGTTCGTTCGTCAGCAAGTGCGTTGAGGTTCTGGCCGTGCTCTTGCCCCTGTCCCGGACGACACGTTTTCACCAGCCGACCTTTGGGAACCCCCAAACCGGGTGGTGAGATACCAGGTGGCGACCTGGAATCCCCCAAAAGGTCACCGCTGGGTTTCGGGACGCGGGGTCACCACCTGGTTTTGTGACTCCTGGACCCACCAGTGTCCGGGACATCCTCGGAAAACCGCACGAGTCCCCAAACCGGGTGGTGACACCAAATCGCCCGAGACTCACCGCCAGGTGTTGTCACCACCACGTTTGGGGACAACCAAGACCTACTCTTCGAGCCGCCTCGTCACCTTCGCTGCCCTTAGTGTGTGCTTTTTTTCCCCCTCTGCGAGGACCCTGGGAGGTCTATAGGCCCTTTCTTTCCCTGGCACCGATTTTTCATCACGTGTCCCATTTGTGAACAGTCCCGACGAAGATTCTCAACGCCCGTGGCCTTCTCCCGCTGTCCTCCTCCGCGGCCGCCCTCTCCTTCCCCTGGTCTCTTCGGGGGCCCCCAGACGGGGTTCGGACTCACCGCACGGTTTTGGGACTCGGGCCGTTCTCCGAGGACGTCTCGGGCGACTGGGGCATCCGAGGTCCCCAAACCGTGCATGGACGGACCGTGCAGTGAGGTCCTGGGAGATTTCGATGTCACCGCACGGTACAGTCGGGGCGCTGAAGAAGGAGCCCTTTTCGTTGGGGAGGGGCTCCGCGTTCCTTAAGTGTTTCGCAGCTTGCCTCAGGCTTTCCTTATGTTTCCGACGGGAAATCGAAGGTCAACTTATGGAACAAAGAGGCCTCGTTCCTTATTTAGGGTTCCTTAGGTCAACGCCCCGACTGTATGTCACCACACCGTTTCGGGACTCCAGATGCCTGCGCGTGCCCGCGGCCCCGGCGCGGCCCGCCGGCCAGCCGCACGCGTGGTGCGCTCGCCCTCGCCGCTGACGCCAAGGCCCAAGGCTGATGGACGGTGGAGGCTTTGTGGGCCCCGGAAACGGCGGGGCCGTTTTTTCACCGTTTCAAAAAAAATGTCCCTTGATAGTGGAAACGGCAAAAAACGGCGACCGGCAACGGTAGAAAAACAGCTCCAGGATGGGAGCCGGGGCCGGAACCGGTCAAACAACGGCGACGGAACCGGTGAAAAAACGGCGTCGGAACCGGCAAAACAACGGCCAAACGGAACCGGTAAAAAAAAGGCCCTGTCGTTTCCAGGGCCCACTAAGGTCCGGGGGCCCGGTGAGGGCCCCTGGACTCAGTATCGTTTAACCGATCCCCATCCCCATCCCCATCCCCCTCGAGACCCCCTACCAACTTACCCCCCCCAGTTGGGGATGCACCCTTCGAAGCCCGAAGGGAGCGACCTATATCCCCATCTAGGAGGGTAAATCGGCCAGCGGGGCCCAGGCCGCGCCGCTGGGGATGGGGATCGGTTAAACGATACTCAGTGGCGGTCCCAAACCTCTCCGCCGTGATTGTTTCACGACGGGAGGTGGTCCGGGTGCCTCGTCCTCCGGGCGCAACTCTCGGGAGGTTGAGTTCGGCATCGGCGCCGGCATATCCGTGGCCGTGAGCTGGCCAGATCCGGCAGAACCCGAGCGGATTCCGCTGAATTCCGTTTCATGTTGTTGATTCCCCCACGCTTCATGTGGACCGGTAATGTTCTTAATCGGGCCTGATCGATATTCAGCTTCTTTGCGAAATATCCCAGAATTTTCCTCCTAACTGTCCTTCTCCCTGTTTTAGTCGGGCCTGATCGATACTCATCTTCTTTACGAAACTTCCCTGAAGTTTCCTTCTAACTGTCCTTTTCCCTGTCTTGTCACAGTCCCAGCCCTCTCCTTCTCCCCCTCTTGCTGATGTGCCAGGGCAGCGCTTACGGGAGGGCTTGGGAGCTCCTCGCCCACGTGCTCGCGCGCTGGTACGTGCCCGTCGGCTTGGACAGCCGTATGTGTTGCACCCGCCGCTCGCAGGCCTCGGTGTACGCGCGTCCGCGCACGCGCCTGAGCGTCACTCGCGGAATTTCCCCAAAGTCGCAGGTCTAGAGCTCAAAAACGTGTCCCCACAGCGCGCGGGCTGGGCGCGCGTGCCATCCTCGGGAAAGTAGAGTGCATGGCGCGCTCATGGGTATCGAGAAAGAAACCACGGTATAAGCATAAACGTTCGGAGATCCGCGCGAATTTCTTCTCTCGGCGCTGGGCCCCCATGCTCCGCGCGCCAGGGAGGGGAGTCCAGCGCAGATCCGAGAAATCCGTGCTGAGCTCCGCCCGTGTGTGTCTATACTGTTTGTTGTTTATTTGGTGTATGCGGCCAGAGGAGATCGTGGCCGTAGCGAAGGACGGCGTCCACATCTACCAGTACCAGCCCGGTGATGAGGTTCCAAGCTCTGCTTCTCCTGTGCCGCGGTGGTGTTTCATGTACAATATTTTCGATCGCAGCTCATGGGAGCTCTTCATGTCCTCGAAGTTATGTTTTTAGAATCAGCGAGCGCTAATGTTTGGTAATCGATGGGGAATCGCCGAGTTCGCCGTGTGAGTGCTTATTCGCGTAAATTTAGCGTCGACTAGCGTCGGCTAGCGTCGGTTCAAGCGTCGATTCGCAAGAGCCAGCAAGATGACACGGGATGCTCCCACGAGTTGCCACAGAACATGCTCTTCCTCTTTCTCGCTCTCTCTCTCTCTCGCCTCACGTACACAAATACACACATCTACATATGACATAAACACATTCCTATATATGTGCATATAAGCATATATACAATTGTTTACATACACATACATTTAGATACATGCGCATCTGTACTATATACGTATCTTTGTATACATGCCATGTATACAATGAATCTACAAACCATATACATACGGGAATTTCACATGCACGCACGCATCTCTACACTGCGCGTGTGTGTGTGTGTGTGTGTGTGTGTGTGTGTGTGTGTGTGTATGTGTGTATGTGTAGATGTGTGCACACACACATATATATATACATATATCTATATGTGTGTATATTTATATATAATATACCTGGGCATGAGGCGCGGGGGTCCAGTGCCCCGGCCCAGGGCCCGACGGGGTGTGGGGGGGCCCAAGGGCCCTGGGGGCCCTGCTGGGGCGCTGGGGACTCTCTGAGATCGCCCGAAGACGGCCCTGGATCGCCAGAAATGGCGCTTCCAGACCGCGAAAACAACAAATGACGGCCCGAGATTACCTCATAATTAACCATTGATTGTCCCAGAGCCTCCACGACGCCCCAAGAGGTCTCCAAGATGCCTTCCAAGGAACCCCAGGAGGCAACCATCATGGATTTTCCATGGTTTTTGAAGGATTTTCGAGTTCTCGCCTTTCAGTTTCCCGACGCTCCACGACGGCCCAAGAGGCCCAATGTCCGCTACAAGACAGCCCAAGAGGCCTCGAAGACGGCACCAAAACGGCCCAAGAGGGCGCCAAACCAGCGCCACCAAGACGGCCCGAGAGGGCCCCAAGACGGCCCCAAGAGGGGCCCAAGAGCTCTCAGGAGTCCCCGAAAGGAGCCCCAAGAGGCCCCCCAAGAGGCCCCAAGGGGCCCCCAAGGGGCCCCCAAGAAGCTCCCCAGAGGGCCCAAGCTCCCAAGAACGCCCCAAGAGGCAACAATCATTGCTTTCGCGTAGGGCCCCAAGACTGTGCCTGAGGCACATTGGCGGCAGTTTCGCAGATTGCAGCCCCCCAGGGATGGCGAGGTCTAGTTTAGATCCGCGTGGGGCGTCAGTCTGCTGGACCCCCCCAGCAGCATTCGAACATGGCGACAGTTTCGCATATCGTAGCCCCCCAGGGATGGCGTGGTCTACTTTCGATCCGCGTGAGGCGTCTGTCCGCTGTACCCCCCAGCATCCTTCGAAATCGGCGATGGTTTTACAGATCGCAGCCCCCCAGGGATGGCGAGGTCTAATTTTTACCCGCGTGGGGCGTCGCTCTGCTAGACCCCCCAACAGCTCTCAGAAGTGGCGACAGTTTTGCATATCGCAGTTCCTCAGGGATGGTGAGGTCTACTTCAGGTCCGCATGGGACGTCGCTCCGCTGGACCCCCCCCCAGCAGCTTTCGAACGTGGCGACAATTTTGCAGATCGCACCCCCCCAGGGATAGCAATGCAACGTGGGACGGCGAGGTCAAATGCAGGTGGGCAGGCAAGCGCAAGCCATGTACTATGCAGAATATGACAGGGAAGAGGGAAGGAGGGGAGCGAGAAGGAGAAGCGCGAGAGGACAAGAGCGGAGACCGCAGTGTTCTATTCAAATCGTGGACCTACCGCATGAGGGCTGGGGAACAGCATGCTGCTTGCTCCTTGTGGCATGCTTGATGTTGCCTTCGCCGTGCGTCGTTTTCTCAGTGGGCAGTGGTGTACTTGGACCTGGCCTTCGGACCGTGCCCGCGCCATTAAGCCTTGGCCCAGTGCTTAAGTGGCTTCCCTCTGCGTCGTGCTCCTATCATTTCCTGCAACGGCCGTTGCCAAGATGGGGGCGGGCAGCGGCAGCACCTGCGCGGGGTGGGGCACGCCGGGGCGCGGGTGCGCTGCGATCTCCGCGGCTTGCGCGCGGAGCACCTCGCCGGCCTGCGGGTGGAGGGCACGGGCTCCCCCCACCCCGTAGGATTGTTGCCGTTCTCCCGGGCGGGGGGAGGGAGGGGTCTGGCTCGGGCAGCCGCCGCCGCTCTGCGCCGGGGGATAACACCGAGTGAGAGCCCCTGTCCTGCCGAGCTTGCGCACCCTGGGAGGGGATCCGCCCCCCCTGGGTGGCCCTTGCCTTGCCCCTCCCCCTCTCTGCTCAGAAGGCGAAAGCCCACCCCCACCCCCAGTCCCGACGCCCATCCCCGAGCCGGCGATTCAAGGGGTCGGGACTGGGGGTGGGGGTGGGTTTTCTCCATTCCTGGACCCCGAAAACCCACCCCCACCCCCAGTCCCGACTCCGTGAATCGCGGGTTCGGGGATGGAGTCGGGACCGGGGGTGGGGGTGGGTTTTCGCCTTCTCAGTCTGCGGCCGCCCGACCTGTCCCATGTTCCCGCTCCTGCAGGTTGGTCGATTGGCCGCTACAAAGGGTGCCCCCGTTTGGTTAACTAGCTCCCTCCGCCAGCGGAGACAGCCCCTGCCCCGGCCGCCGACGCCACGAGTCCTGCCGGTCTCCTCTCCCTCGCGCCGATGGCCAGGTGGGGCCGCCCGCGCACAGCTTCCCGGCGGTGCCCACGGCGGAGGGCTGCGTCTGGAGTGCGGACGGCGCCCTCCTGGCCCTCGTGGACCCGAGCACGGGGGGCGCCGTGGTCTACAGCGCGGCCGAGGACCGCGGGGCCTCGGGGGCGGGGCTCTGCGTCGGATAGCCGCGCCAAAGGCAGGCATTGTTGCTGACGGCCGCCTCTGTTCGAGGGCAGCTGGTTTCAATCGCACGTATTTTTTGTAGACGCGACTGACGGCAAGCATTTGTTTGTCTTCAGTGGGCGGATTTGTTTTGTTTGTGATGCTTTGGGCAAGCGCATCGTAAGTGAAACGTTGCCTTCAGTGAAATGTTTGCCTTCAGCGAACAGATGTTGTCCTGCGGTGGGGCACTCGCACCACGATTTCCACTCGGCAGCAGGATAGGGAAGGTTGATCGACGGCAGGTGGGGGAGTGGGAGGGAGGGAAGGGAGGGGACGTGGAGGTGAGGTCTGCGAGGGAGTGGTGGGAGGGCGGCGTATGATGAGGGCGTGTAAGGGGGCAGAGATGGAAGGGGAGGAAAACTGGGAGGGCAGCTGGAAGGGGAGGAGGAATAATAATAATGAGGTGGAGGAGCAGACGGCGGATAACCATGAGGAGGAGCAGGAACAGGATGAGCAGAAGCAGGAGCAAGGAACATGAGCTGGAGCAGGCGAAGGAGTAGGGAATGAAGGGGGAGGAGGAGGGAACGGCGAATAGAGAGGATGGTCGGCGATGGGATGGGGAGGGGAGGAGCAAGGGGGGTAAGTTAGAGGAAGATGGGCTGGCGAGGGGTTGTGGATAGGAGGGTGAGGGGCGGAGAAGGGGGGGGATCGGAAGCATAGCGAGGAAAGGCTTTCAGGGGAATTGAGGGGATGAGGAGGGGGAAGCGGCGCAAGACGAGGACGACCCGTCTTGAGATGACACGTTGTGGGCGCTGCTTCGTTCTCAAAGTTTGCAGCTAGGGCTTAGCCGAGAGTCGGAAAGTGGAGCATATACATTACCAGTGGCGGGTTGTTTTTCACTCCCAGGACTTGTTGAGGGTCGGGACGGCGTCGGGGTGGTGTGGTGTACATTTGTTGTCCCCATTTTCTTGGCAATCGAAGGAACATGTATACACCAGGATCCTGGGTACACCAGGATCCGCTTTCCTGTGCGAGTTTCAGTGCGGGGAAACGCGTCGGTGTATAGAGTTTGGCTCCTTAGATGGAGCCCTTCCGCAGATTCGCAGGGACGTCCCCAGTCCGTTGGGCAGGGCTGTTTGTCTCCCAAAGCCCCCATTCGCTTTTTGGGAAGCCTTATGGAGGAGGAGGAGGAGGAGGATGAGGAGGAGGAGGAGGAGGAGGATGAGGAGGAGGAGGAGGGGAGGAGGAGGAGGAGGAGGAGGAGAAGGAGGAGGAGGAGGAGGAGGAGAAGGAGGAGGAGGAGGAGGGGAAGCAGAAGAACAAGGAAGAGGAGGAGTCCTGGAGCTCCAGGGCGAGCCCCAGGGAGGGCCAGACCCCCCTTCCTGGTGAGTTCGGGGGTGGGCGTCCCCGGCCAGAAGGGGCGTCGAATTGCCAGTTTGGGGGCCGGGGGGGCGGGGTTATGGATGATGGGAGGTGGAGGACGAGGAGGAGGACGAGGAGGAGGAGGAGGACGAGGAGGAGGAGGAGGAGGAGGAGGAGGAGGAGGAGGAGGAGGAGGAGGACCCCCTCTCCCTCCAACGTTTGGTGGTAATGGTGGAAAACGGGCCCATCAATGGAGGGGGGGGGAAAATCTCACACGCCTAGAGACCCCAGGGAGTCGGCGGATGTGCATCCCGAAGCCGCCATTCGCATTGATACCGTGGGGACGGTTGGGCTCACCATTCCTTAAGGGCGCGGGGTGTTGGTCTATCTGCCTTCCTGGGCGGGGGGGTCCAGCGTGCCCTTGAGGTTCGCAGGAGCAGGACCTTCTTGGCAGCAGTTCGGTGTGAAATCGGGCATGTCCCGCCACAGGCGGAATACTCAAGAACAGTATGATCATAGTCTGGCGACGATTTCCCGCGCTCTCTGGACGGTTTTAAGGTATTTGTTGACTATGTTTCATGTTTCGTCCAACATCCGCCTGTAGGAGGACATGCCTGACCTAAGATCAGCATGCCCTTGAGGTTCGCAGGAGCAGACCATTTTTGGCAGCAGTTGAAAGGCGTCTCGTGGCTGGATTTTTTGTTCTACGGAGATGCGCCTCGTCGGTGGAGCAGGCGCCGGGGCGGCAATCTGGAGTGTGCTGAGTGCGCCCTGCGCGGCAGCATCTGGTGAGTTCCCTTCCTAGCCTTGGCGCTTCGCCAGGCGAGTTGCCCCGATCAGGGATGTGCAGGAGCATCCAGTGGAACAGCCTGGGTCAGCCGTCATTCCCAAGCAGGGTATCAGCCTGAGCATACCCAGGTGTGGAATGGCTGAGCCGTCGAAGCAGGATGAGGAGGCGGCGTGGAGGAGAACACGGAGAAGGAGAGAAGGAGGAAGGGAGGAGGGATGAGGATGGCGAGGGAGGTCCGATGATGCTGATGATGAGGATGATGATGACGATAACGATGATGGTGATGCCGATGCTGATGATGATGGTGATGATGATGATGTTGGTGGTAATGATACGTCATATTACGATTCAGGTGATGATGCTGCTAATGATGACGACGACGATGATGATGCTGATGCTGCTGATGTTGCTGATGCTGCAGATGATGATGCTGATGCAAACGACAGCGACGACTACTACGGCCACGACGATGATGCTGATGACGGTGATGATGATGCTGCTGATGATGATACTGATGATGATACTGATGCTGATGCTGATGATGATGACAATGACGATGACGATGACGATGGCGAAGCTGATGATTCTGATGAAGATGCTGATGCTGATGATGATACTGATGCTGAGGCTGATGATGATGATGATGACGATGGTGACGATGTTGCTGATGACGATGCTTGTGATGACGATGATGATTATGATGCTGTTGATGCTGGCGCTTTAGATGATGATGGTGGTGATGGTGATGATGCTGATGCTGATGATGATGCTGATCATGATGCTGATGAAGATGGTGATGCTGATAATGCTGATGCTGCTGCTGATTATGCTGTTGATGATGATGCTGATGATGATGGCGATGCTGATGCTGATGCTGATGCTGATGCTTCTGCTGCTGATGATGATGCTCATGATCATGGTGATGCTGATGCTGTTGGTGATGATGCTCCTGCTGATGATGATGATCGGGCGGATGATGATGTTGCTGCTGATGATGATGGTGACGACGATGATGATGAAGAAGACTTTGATGATGCTGCTGCTGATGATGGTGATGATGATGATGATGATGATTATGGTGATGATGACGATGATGATGATGATGATGATGATGATGATGATGATGATGATGATGATGCTGATGATGATGATGACGATGATGCTGATGAGCATGCCTTTGACGACGATGGTGGGGAGGATGCGGATGAGGATTTTGGGGAGGAGGGGAAGGAGGATGAGGTGGAGGATGAGGAGAAGGAGGATGAGGATGAGGAGGAGGATGAGGAGGATGAGGAGGATGAGGAGGAGGAGGAGGAGGTGGTGGTGGAGGATGAGTAGTATGATGATGACGATGATGTTGATGACGATGATGATGATGATGATGCTGCTGCTGCTGATGATGATAAAGATGCTGATGCTGATTGTGATGATGCTGATGATGATGATGTTGCTGATGCTGATGCTGATGCTGATGATGATGATGATGCTAATGATGATGATGCTGCTGATGATGATGACGATTATGATAGTGATGATGATGAGTGTGATGATGCTGATGATGATGTTGTTGATGATGATGATGATGCTGATGATGATGCTGATGACGATGATGATGCTGATGCTGATGCTGATGCTGCTGCTGATGATGTTAATGATGATGATGATGCTGATGCTGATGATGCTGATGATGATGCTGATGATGATGCTGCTGCTGCTGCTGCTGCTGATGATGATGATGATGATGATGATGATGATGATGATGATGATGATGATGATTGTGATGATGACGATGAGGATTATGCTGTGGAAGAGGAGGAGGAATATGATGATGATGAGGAGGAGGAGGAGGAGGAGGAGGAGGAGGAGGAGGATACAGAAGGATGAGGAAAGAGGAATGGGGGCGGCGACGACGACGACGACGACGGCATTAACAATGAGTCGACGATGGGGAGGAGGACGGCGAGGACGGCAGGAGTCAGCCATGAGGATCTTGGCGGCGCTTTCGCTCGCAGTGTCTTTTTTTGAGTTTTCTTGCAGCCATCTTGGAGCCCTCTTGGAGCCGTGTTGCGTGCTTTCGGGGCTCAATTGGGCGATCTTGGGGCCTTCCTGGGGCCCCAGAGGCCCATCGCAAGCGAACATGTGAAAATGAGGATTTGGTCCCCTCGGGGGTCTCCTTGGGATGCTCCGCGGCCCCTTGGAGTCGTCTTGGGGTGGTCCAGCTGCCTCTTGGAGAAATTGTCGATTACATCTTTACCCACCTTGGACCATCATGCGCCATCTTAGAGATTAGAGGCAATCGTGGAGGCCATCTTGAGCTATCTGGGGCCATCTTGTAGCCAGATTGGCCCCAACGCCTCCCAAACATCCGAATGATCGCATTGATTTTCGACTTTGGTCGAAGAGGGCGGCGGCGATCAGCCTCGCCCCTCCTGAGCTCGAGCGCTCGCTTCTCGGGTCCCTCTCGGGGAGATCTTCGGCGCCCGTGGGCCCTTCTTGGAGCCTCCCGGACCCCTCTTGGGCCCTCGTTGGGCCCTCGTGGAGCCGCTTGAGGACTCGGGAGCCCATCGGAAGCGACACGTCGAGAATCAGAACGTGAATTACCTACCCCGCTTTCGCTTCCAGAAAAAAACCAAGTCATGCCACGCGCCTCCTCGTCAAGCGGCCTGACCAGACCAGGCCGTAGTCTGGCATCGTTCGGTACCTCTTGGAAGCGAGGGTGGTCCAAAGCGAGGTAGGTTTGTTTTCCCCCTAGAGAAGGCAACCACCATTCAATCATGCTCCTCCTCAAGAGGAGGAGGAGGAGGAGGAGGAGGAGGAGGAGGAGGAGGAGGAGGAGGCGGAGGAGGAGGAGGAGGGAGGAGGGGAGGAGGAGGGGAGGGAGGAGGGAGGAGGGAGGAGGGAGGAGGAGGAGGGAGGAGGGAGGAGGAGGAGGAGGAGGAGAAGGCAACCACCACGGAACACCAGATGGTTGTGGAGTGCTGTTGGGGCCTCTCCGGGGTTCCTTCTCGGGACGGCCCGTGGCCGCCCGGCGCCGTCCTGCGGAGCGGCCTTTGGCGACCCGCGGAGGCACGCTGCAGGCCAGCTGTAAGCATCTCGGCTATGGTACAGTCTCACCACCCACCAAACCACCCCAACCCAACCCGAAGGCCCCAATTTGCCCTCCATTTCCAGTTGGGGGGGGGGTCGGGGAACATCGAAAAAACACGTATGGAACCCATACCCCCCCCAACCCGAAATTCGGGTCTTCGGGTTGGGTTGGGGTGGTCTGGTAGGTAGTCACAGTCGGGGCCCTGAAGAAGGAACCCTTTTCGTTGGGGAGGGGCTCCGCGTTCCTTAAGTGTTTCGCAGCTTGCCTCAGGTTTCCCTTCTGTTTTCGATCGGAAAGCGAAGTTTCACTTATGGAAAGAAGGGGCCTCGCTCCTTGTTTAGGGTTCCTTAGGTCATGGTCCCGACGGTATGCAAGCTCGGAGGCCATCATGGGCTTAGGGCCAATCGTCGAGCCCTCTTGGACCAGACAGGACCCGCGGGCACCTCACCGCCAACCCCCTGGGCAGACCAGGGGAGGGAAAGGGGAAGTGAACCCCCTCCCTGAAGGGGAAGACGGGGGTCGTAAGAGGAAGCGCACTGAACCACCTCCGCCCAGCGGGCTGGTTGGACTCTCCAGACGGCTACTGCCACCTCCCCTTTCTCGTTCCGTCATCCTGGGAACGAAGGAGGGGGGGTGAGAGGATGAGGGGGGGGAGGTCCAGATTTTAACACGTACAGCGGGAGCCTCCCAGAGTCGCCCCTTGGAAAAGGGGATCGGACATACCATTTCCCGGCATGCCCGTTTTCCCCACAGGCCTGGCGAGGACATGGAGCGCCCGTGCGAGCATAGCGGCTACGTCCTCGGCCTCTCTCGTCCCCTTGGCTCGCTACGTGGTGCCTGCTCGCCTTGCGCGGTTGCGCCCCCATCTTTCACGCAGGCTGTGATGCTGCGATGGACCCACCCTGTCCCCCGCCTCCATTGTCCTGCTCTCCCTCCTCTCTCTCTCTCTCTCGGCATCCTTGTCTATCTCCATCCCCCGAGGAGTACGCGGAGCTGTGCAGAGTGCCGCCGCTGACTGGAGACCAGATTAGGAACATGTATTTCTCGCCGGCCGGCAACCACTTAGTCACGTACGAGCGCTATGTGAAAGATGCGGGCAACAACGTGGGTGCCCTGGGATACTTCGAACGTAAGTTTGCAGCACAGGCAGGGTTTCTCCGCAGTGGACTGGATACAGAGTCATAGTAGGATTTTTAAGGGTGCGTATGCGAGGCGTCTCCACCCGTCATTACGGTTAGCGTCGAGCACATGTGTGCCAATGTCGTTCGAGGTATGCGTGGGGAGGTTTGTGCAAGGCCTGCTGGAGGATCTCCTTGCAGCCTCGGGGCCATGCTAGGGACATGTTCGCAGTTGCCCCCATAGGGGACATTATTGTATTGTGCCCGTCTGGGGACGGATCGTCATGTTGCTGGGGCCAGGCCTGGCACCTCCTGGGCCCGTCTTGGAATGGCGTTGGGCTGTATCGAGACCGTTTTGAAAATGTCTTGGGCATTTCGGGTGTCATCTTGGGTTCGTCGGAGAGTGTGAGATCGCTGTAATATCGTCATCTTGGGTTCATGTAGGATCTTTGTAGGATCGCTTAAGGAAGCCCAGATGCTGTCCGGCATTTTTTTGCTGTATTGTTGTTGTTTCTGTTAGTATTCGTTTTTGGGGGGTATCACAGATCTTCAATTGGTGGGCTTCTCAAATGCAGTTTTCTTAGCTGGTCAACTCGGTCTCGTCGTGTCATCCTGGGGAGTCGTGGGGCAGTTTGGAAAGGTATTGCGATGATGTGTGGGAATTGCGGGGCCATTTGAAGGAGTCTCGCCCCCCGGTTCTCCCGCGCTATGAGCTGGATGCCTCGCGGGATGCCCAGCGAGTGACTCATCGGTTGTCAATATGTGGGATCAGTTTGGATCCGCATGTCCTCTCTCTGAGTGGGGGCCAATCCTGCATGTGTTGAGATGCGCATTTGTTGGGGGCTACAGTGCGTAGTATTGTGCGCTGGCGTGCAAGCGCGGATCGTGATGTTGGTCCGGCGAAGCAGGGCTGGAGAGTCGGGTCTTCGATTTCGTCGAGGCTTTAACCTTTTGGGTCTTTGGTCTTCGGGTCTTTCTTCTCGGCAGCCATGCGACTCGCTTGGGGAACACATCAGGGCCTTGCCCCAGAAAGTTGCCTCGAGCGAGACTTGCCTGGGAGATTGTCGCATTTTTTTCGGGGCAATTTTCTCAGGGTTGGTTAATGCAGGGCGAACCCAACCACGGTGTTCCCTCTACGCGCAGGAGGCTACTTATGATGCCAGCTCAGGGGCTCCACAAAGTTGCCCCGTGTATGTCTGTCTGTCTGTCTGTCTGTCTGTCTGTCTGTCTGTCTGTCTGTCTGTGCGTATGCGTGCGTGCGTGCGTGCGTGCCTGCGTGTGCGTACGTGTATGTGTGTGTGTGTGTGTATGTGTGTGTGTGTGTGCGTGCGTGCGTGTGTTTGTGTGTGTGTGTGTGTATGCGTGCGTGTGGAACCCCTCGTGCTGAAGCCAGTGCGTGGCACCACCTGTGTGTGAAACACAAAGCGAGAGAGAGAGAGAGAGAGAGAGAGTGTGTGCTGATGTGTAGACATCTGTGTGTGTGTGTGTGTGTGTTTGTGTGTGTATGTGCTTGTCTTTGTGTGCGGAAATCCTCCGTGTGTAGAGCCCTCAAGTGTGTGGATCGTGAAGTGTCGGACCGTAATGCATTCATGTGAAATGCTTGGAATCTAAGCAGCCACCAGGAAATGCGACACAAGGTGTCTGGAACACGTAGGACCTGTAGGAATCCGCGCGGCCACCAGAAACATGGTGGCCCACGTGTCCATGGGAGACCGAAGGAAGCCATAGGAGTCAGGGAAGCCTACAGGAATTCAACAGGCTTCCTCAATGCAAGCACTGTTCGGAGGAAACAGGTGACGTGTCCAGGTGTCTGTGATGCGTCCCGCCACTGTGTCAGTTCAGCCCGATGGGTGGCAAAGCTTGGAGCACCGAAGGCCGCCACATGGGACATCTGTCAAATTCACTCTTTTTTCATTCATGGCCTGATTTGCTGACTCGGCGCGGATCTGATCAATGACTAAACTGGGACAATTGAAGCACGAGCTCGTCGGATTGAACCGTTGAACACTGAAAGCATGATACTTGATCATGGCAACATCGGGGTTGCTGAATTGAATATTTAAAGCTGGAAGTTTTCGATCCTCGGGTCGCGGGTTCAAACGATTGAATATTGAATCAGGTATGCAGTTTTGCAGTCTATCATTTTTTCGATCTGGCTGAGGAGGGGGTGATATTCGTAACGCTGTGATTTTCACTCTGGGCGCGCTCGTATTTGATATTCTAGACCCTTCGCATGACTCTACCAGCCCATCCAGAAACGATGCCCATACGAGTTGCCCTGATCAGGGATGTGAGGGGGGATGCAGTGGAAATGAAGGGCTGGGTACGGAAAGGCGTCCTACCCCAAGAGGGGGATGAACAGGAGGAGGAGGACGAGGAGGAGGAGGGGGAGGAGGAGGAGGAGGAGGAGGAGGAGGAGGAGGAGGAGGAGGAGGGAGAGCGGGAGGGGCTGGAGGGAGGAGGAAGGAAGGAGAAGGAAGAGGGACAGAAAACACCCCGCAGTTGCGGATAATAGTGAGGGGGCGGGCGCGAGATGAGTCGCGGGTGGGTCGCGGGTGGTCGCGGGCGAGTCGCGGGGTGGGTCGCGGGGTGGGTCGCGGGCAGGTCGCGGGTGGGTCGCGCGGGATTCGCGGGTGGGTCGCGCGTGGGTCGCGGGTGGGTCGCCGGTGGGTCGCGGGCGGGTCGCGCGGTGGGTTGCGGGTGGGTCGCGGGTGGTTCGCGGGCGGGTCGCGTTGTGGGTCGTGGGTGGGTCGCGGGTGGGTCGCGGGGTGGGTCGCGTGTGGGTGGGTGGTTTTGGTGGGCCACAAAAACACCAGCAACATCAGCAGCAGCAGCAGCAGCAACAGCAGTAGCAACAACACCAACACCACCAACAACAACAGCACCAACAACAACATCAACACCAACAGCAATAACGGCACTACAACAGCAACAACAACAAAATCAACAACAACAAAAAACAACATCACCACCACCACCAACAACAACAACTGCACCAACTTCAGCAGCAGCACCCACAACAACACACAGCAGCACCAATAATAACAACATCAAGCAGTTTACCCGAAAACTCTCTGCTTCCATATGCAGCATGCATCCATCATGATACCTCCCCCCATCATGGGGGATCTCTCCCTTGCGCACGGGGGTCCAATATTTCTTCTCCCTGGTCTCCCTGGCACTCCAACATCTTCGGCCTGGATGGCACATCGCCTTCGCGATCTCCTTGCCCAAGCCTTGCTTCTAGGCGTCACGACGCCCGGTCCTCGCAGCCTCTGGGGGCCGTTTTTGCGTCGGCAACTTTCTGATGGGGCCGGGGCTCATCGTCGTCGTTGTCGTCGTCGCCGCCGCCGCCGCCGCTGCCGCCGCCGCCGTCGTTGTCGCCGTCGTCGTCGACGTCGTCGTCGTCGTCGCCCGGCCGAGAATCGGCCTGGGGGTCTCGACTTGCCGAGGATGTCTCAGGCGAGGGTGCCCGTTTGGGATTCCGCGCCAGGCTTCGCCCGAGTCGCCAGGGAAAGAACAGGAAAACTGGCGAGTCGCCGGAAACAGAACAAGAAGCTCGTGAAAACTGGCGAGAACTGGCGTGTAAGAGGGAGAAAACGAAAGAAGGGGGGGGAATGATGGAGATGGGGGGGGAGAAGAGAGGGATGGCTCAGGCGACTGGTGATAATTTTTGGTGAAAGATGGAAAGATCAGCGGGGCAACGGGGGAAACTCAGGGGAAGCTGGCGATATAAAAGGGACAAGTGGGAGGACGTTGGGGACTTTGGCGGAGAGAAGCGCGGGGCAGATATGGAAAGATAGGAGAAATGAAGGAGAGAGAAGAAGAGAGGGGGAGAGAGGAGGAGGAGAAGGACGACGACGACGACGACGACGGCGACGGCGGCGGCGACGGCGACGGCGACGGCGACGACGCCACGCCCCATGACACGAGCGAAAGCCAGGTCGCGCGGAGCAGGCGCGAGAGCGCGAACGCGCATTCAGAATGTCCAGCGCTAATCATTGTTCAACAGTTGTTTTGTAAATACGGTTCAACAAGGGCTAGGGGAGCGTCAAGGCCTTATGGGAGTTTGGAACAATGACGGAGGGATTATCGAGCGGGGGCGTCGTTGTTTGTTTGGGGCCCCGAGGCGGGAACGCGGGTCCTGAGGTGAAAACCATGGAAGAGCGGGGGCGCCGATTTTGTTGGATAGTCTGCTTCTTCGGGGGCGAGCAAAACCCCCGGCCCCGAGTGAGACAGGAGGAAGTATCGACCCGGAGCATTGTTGTTGAACTCTTATTTATTTCTGAAGAATAATTATTGTTGATCCCCCCCGTCCAGTGCACATTGTTTTTTTATTGAAGTGCCCCTCCCGGGGCTCGCACCCTGTTTCTTATCAGGGAAAGTCTTGAGGGTCAAACTGTGTTGTTGGCCCCCGGTTTGCAACAACGGCGGCTCCCGCTGGATATTTCCTTAGAATATATTGAATAATCGCGCGTTCGTTTGGGACTTCCTTGCAATTTACCGCCGGATCGCGGTTCCCGCTTGATACTTCCTCACAATTTATTGAAGAATCGCGCCCTCTCCCAATTGCCACCGAATCGCGGCTCCCGCCTGATATTTCCGCACAATTTATTCACATGCTGCTCCTCGACACTCAGGAATCGCGCTCCCGCTGCATATGGCCTGGCGGTTCAAGCAGTATTTATGTTTCAACGACCCGCCCGCTCGACCCTCCCGTCAGGGCCTGCCCGCCCGACCAGCCCGTTAGGGACTGCAGTCGCCGCTCGCTGCCCTTCGCCCGCCTTCGATGCCCGTCGCTGCCCGTGCTGGTTCCGCGGTCGCCTTCGCTCGCTGCCCTTCGTGGCCTCGTTGCAGCTCTCAGTGGCCCCGTCGCTGCCCACAGTGGCCCCGCATTATATTCCCCTCGTGGCCCCCGCTCGCAGTCGCCCGTCGTGGCCCCATACGCGTGCCTTTCGTAGCTCCGTTGTCGCCCTCCGTGGCCCTCTCG